CAGACTGCTGATTGAGTTTGGACCAAGCGCGTGGGAAAGGAAGCGCACCCCAGCGTGATGGCCAGCAGCCGCGCGCAAGAGGGCGTAGTGGCCACGTGGTGGTGTTAAGGTGGAAGCTGCCTTGCGCGCGAGGTGGGCGTGTTGGGCCCGGAGTGGGGGGCGCAGGCTCGTTCCTCTGTGTGATTTATTCAGTGCGTGTGCCGCATGCACACGTGTGTGGAACACTTCCCCAGACGGTGCTTATGCGGCTGATAGGTGACGCCCCCTAGCAGTGCCGCTCCTTTGTATTTCATTACAAAAGAGCTGCTAACATACTAATGGGTCCTAAGTAGTATGATGTCAGTGTTGTCTCATAATTTTTATTTTTTTGGTACTGGGAATCGAACTGATGACCTCACACTTGCCAGGCAAGCGCTTATGCTGCTGAGCTAAATCCCAGGCCTCAAATATATTTTAAAATAGTAGACTACCTTTTATATATTGACAAATTTTTAAAAAATTTCTGTCCTGTATCAGATACATCTGTGTACTGCTTAGTTTAGGGATCATGAGTTTATCATGTCTGGTTTAGACTGTGTAGTTTTCTCTCTTTTCTTGTTTCTTTGTTTTCTTTTTCTCTTTCTTTCTTTCTTTTTTTTTTTTGGCTATTGGGGGTCCTAGTGTTGAACTCCTGTGATCTTCCTGCCTCAGCCTCCCCAGCATCTGGGAGTACAGGTGTTGGTATTAGCAAGTAACCCTTAAAAATCTTATTTCTGCCAACGCTGCTTAGCCATCTGAGCCTGTCTGTTGACGCTGTGGTCTGTGGGTTGTGTGTGCAGGATTCCAGCAGGTTGTGCAAGCTGTGGCCCTTTGAACATATGGGGTGTTACTGAAGTTTTTTAAGTTAAGGAAATTTTGTATGAATCATTAACCCCCGCCCCGCATGCTGGTGTGTGTAGCCCAGGCCAGTGCTTTACAATTTAATTTCAAGGCTCCTTTTTCGCAGTCAGAGTAGAACCTAGCACAGGCTAGTAGGACTTTTTGTAAATGCAGAGAAAAAATTTGTTTTAGCCCACACTCGTGAATTGTACATCACAGTGTAAAATCCACTTAAATTATTTGCAACTTCAAAGGCAATTAGTTCTTCCTTTGGGCAAAATTTATGGCTTTATAAAAGGAATGGCATCTGCTTCAAAGTGTAATTGAAACGAACATTTCCAAATGTCTTTCTACTTTTGCAAATGCCTGGTGTGATTTAATGCGGTGTTTTTCAGCCCTGGCGTGGCTGACATTTAGGCTGGGGAATTCTCTTTGTAGGGCTGCCTGTGTGCTATGGGAGGGTTAGCACAAGCTCTGGCCTCACCCCTCGAATGCCAGCAGCAGTCCCCATCACGTGCAGGTGTGACAGAGAAGGGAAAGCACAATGGTCAGGGGTGCAGCTGAGTGTTAAGAAGCAGGACTCTGTCCCAGCACTGCTCCCTCCTCAAGCCGCCAGACTGTCTCAGGCATCCCCAGGGGGCAGAATTTCCAGGCCTTAGTATGAATCATAGGTTTTATGTATCATGCTTTTGAACTTTAGCACTGGTGATGTTATTCTGATTGCCTTTTCGTTTGTGGTATTAGGTATTGAACCCAGGGCCTTCAACTGCATCCCAGGTGTACTCTTCTTCCCTTTTAAGTAGCCCAGGCTAGACTGGAATTCTCCTGCCTCAGCTTTCCTGAGTGCTGGGATTACACGTGTGTACCACCACAGCTGTAGTGCTGCTTTTCTTGTTTTTCTGAGACATGGGGGTCTTGCTACATAACTGGCCTTGAATTTAGTAACTAGCAAAGCCTGGCCTCGATATGGTGGTGATTTCATGCTTTAGCCTCCTGAATGCTGGGATTACAGGTGGCCACCACCTTGCCCAATTTAGCTTCGCCTTTGAAATGCTCCACCATTTTATGTTGGATTTTGTATCATTTTTCCTGAGTGTAAAATGTTCTTTCCTCTTTCAGAGGACTAGGAATGTAGCTCAGTAGTACGGGATTTACAGGTACCACTTGCTCCAAAATTCTGTTCAGAGTTCTACATTACTTGTACAAGATGAAGAGCAGATAATTCCACTCAGAGAAATGACATTTAAGGATATGCTGTCAGATTTTAAATGTGGGTAATAATTTCTAAAATGCATGTATTTCGGAGTGGGGCCACACTGAGCTGGTCAGCTTAGCCTTCTCTCTGAGTTGCTGTGGCTGTGTGTTTCCGGTGTGTCCTGTCCTCCTGGCTGTGTCTCCTGATGCTGTTGCCTTTTGAGCTGTCTCACGGTGTGGATGACAGCCACACCAGGAGCTGAAATAAGACTTTGCAGGAACAAACCCCTTTAACCTCCCTGGGTATTTGTGACTGCAGAATCCTCTCTCTCCTTTGACATTCTCCATATTGAATATATTTTTACACATTTCAAAGATGTTTCCCCCCCTCAGAACCATAGTAAAAGTCTTTGAAACAGGGCAAAAAAGGTCTGTAATCTAAATGCTTCTCCTTGACCCATTTGTTTTAAAAAGGAGGCCTGTCAGTCCTGTGCTTGGGAGGCTAAGACAGGAAAACTGCCTTGAGGCCGAGGCCAGCCTAGGCAACAAAGGGACTTGAAGGGCGCCCTGTTCTGCATAGTAAAACCCTGTCTCAAAGAAAGGAAGGTGCAAAATAAAAGTTACAGGACGCACTTAGTTTTTCTCTGTAGTTTAGAGCTGTTAACCTTTCCAGGAACGCAGTTACAGATAAAAAGTGGGTACCGGTATGCTGTCACTTGAAGGTGACATACATACCCTGAAAAACTACACCCGTGGGGGCGTTCCATCCATACTTGAGTGGACCTTTGTCTCCGTCCATTTCCTGTCAGATCACCTGCCTCCTCCTCCTTACCGGTGGCTGGTGTTTATCTCATAATGTACTTAACGATCTCTGGTGAGTGGTATCGGAGCCCTCTCTCGGTCTTGGCTGTGATACAGACTTCCAGCAAAGCCTCGGCTGTCAGTGCTCGGTCAGACTCCAACGCTGGGCTCTGTGTTTTATGCACTTTAATTTGCCACCAACGTGTTCTCCTGGTTTTCCTTTCCTCACCTATTCTCTGTGTAAGGTGAGGGTTTTTGCTGTCTTTTGTGTTTACGTGAGACGGTCTCACTGTGTTCTTCAGATCAACCTTGAGCTTGCTGTGGTAGTCCAGGTGGGTCTTACTTGGAATCTTCCTGTCTGATCTGCCATCACAGTACTGCAGAGCAATACACTATACCCAGCTAGGTGTTTGTATTGTTTTATCTCTTTTTTTGGTTGAGACACGGTCTCTTTATGTAGTTCAGGCTGAACATGAACTCACGTGTAGACCAGGCTGTCCTTGAACTCACAGTGACCCTCCTGCCCGGCCTCCTGAGTACTGAAGTTAGCAGCGTGTGCCCCACACCTGGTGAGGTGTTACATTTTGAAATAAGTTTATGTGCATATAAAAAGAATGCACAGTGGGGAGGGTTGGATAGGTACAGTTTACATCATCTGCATTTAATTTTTGTTGAGCTCCCTGATCTCTTTGTGTTTATTGACTGTTTCCTGTGAGTTGATTATTCATCTTTGGATTGTCAGTTACACCCCCTAGTTCACCTTAGTTTTAGCAGCCACATGATACTGAGATTTTTAAACTGATAGGTTGGCTGTTACCAAGTCTTTATTGCTGATGATGACCACGGATGCACAGAGAAATCGAGAGTGCACGCTTCAGTAAATCACTTCCTGCAGATTCAGGAACTGTCTCAGACAGCTGCTGTGTGTCAGGCGTCAGGCGGTGACCTGGGTGTGTCTAGTTCCAAGGATCCTGCTCCTCTGGAGATGACATTCTCTTGGCCTAAGGGAAGTGATAAACAGAAATTGCCTTGTGGTAGATGGGCCAACGAAGTGACAGAGGGCAGGTGACGACTGAGCTGGGACCTGAATAGGGAGGGGTCATGGCCCGTGTGTGCAGGGGTGAGGGCCTCCCAGGAGAGCTTGAGGGGAGATCAGCTTGGTGCCCAGGAGGTTGGCGTGGCAGGAAAGGTTGGACGTGAGTGGGAGAGGAATTTGACTTTCCTTCCAGGGAACGGGACCCTTCTGGCTGGCTTTAGATGTAATGGGCTCTCATTTCTGGCTTAAGGGGTGGTGCTGGCTGCTGTGTGGAGGGTGACTGGGGTCCGGATTTAACTATGCCTGTTCGGTGGGTGAGGAAATGGAGGCAGGCACCCACCTGAGTGTATGGGTTCCTACACCAGCTTTGGGTGCTTTGAGGTTCCTACATTTGCCGTTGTCCTGAGGATGGGGTCCCCTCCGGACGGATTATCCACATAAGCAGAATTGGCTTTCTTGGTATCTGCACGCCTTTAAGTCTCAGCTGGCTTTAAAAGGGCTCAGGTTGTGGGAGGGGCCAGATCCCAAGACAGGACCTGACTCAGTGTGTTTCCTTCCTCCTGTTGGGGATCTGACCCCGGGCGGAGCAGGCTCAGCCAGTGCCACGCCCTGAGCTGTAGTGGGGTTGGGCTCCGAAGGCAGGCCTGCCAGGCCCTCTGAACATGCGTTTTTTAGAATAAGCACTTGGTGCCCCCAGAAGTTTGGCATGCAGCCTGCGAACCTCCGACTGGAGCTGGGGTTCCCCCAGCGCTTGAGTTAGGCCCTCAGCCTGCCCACGAACGGGGCACCCACATGCACTTGGCCCCTCGCTGTTGTTCGGAGACTTACGCCCATGAATAGCCAAACCGATTTCAGTGGCAGCTTAGCCAATTTGTCCTGAGCTTTGTGTTTGGCGGAACACAGTAACTGGGAGGTTGCTCTCTTGGTGGCTTTCCCAGTTTAATGCGGGGCGAAAGCTCATTGTGGACCCCTGTGAGCATCTGTGTCCTCCCCTGTGTCCCCAGCCAGAAGCCACGGCACACCCCGTCCGAGGTCTCCGTGCGCCCCTCACACACCCGAAGTTCCGAAGACTTTTTGTGAATCTGTGTCTAACGGTCACATCCTTTTTCAGCTTCACCGGTTTCCACAAAGACGGGACAAGCGGGGAGCCTGTCCGGCAGCCCGAAACCTTTCTCTCCGCAAGCGTCGGCACCAGTCATGACGAAAACGGACAAAATGTCCACCACTGGAAGCATCCTGAATCTTAACCTGGGTCAGTTGGCATTTTTGGAGGTATCTTTTTTTCCTGGCAGCTGTGACCATCTTTGCAAAGCATAATGTCTGTTTTTCTGTGTGATTCTTGAACCCTGAACTCTTCAGTTGTCCTCTCTGACCAGAAAGGTTACAGCAGCTGAAGCGGGGTGGAGAGCTCAGGAAGGAGCCACTTAGGGGTTTCCAATCTTACAAAGTTGTTTCATCACAAAGTGCCTTAGGTCCGTGTTCCCAAGCTTGTTTGCCTGTGACTCTGCTAACCCGGTTCTGAGACCTACATGCACATGGCTGACAGTGTCAGCTGTCCTCTGCTCAGTGTGCTCTAACTCTCTTTACTTTGTCCTTCTCTTCTAATTTTTTAGAATGCCGGTTTTCAGTCCCTGGGATCACAAGCATATGCTGCGCCACCATGCCCAGCCAATTCTGATTTTTTGCATCAGGCTCTTGCTAGCTCAGGCTGGCCTCCAACTTGCAAGGATTCTCCTGTCTCAGTTTCCCTGAGATAACAGGCATGTGCCACCACACCTTGGCTTTAACCCATTGTATTCCTATTGGTTGTTTAAAAAAAAAACTATGCTAGGTGAAAGTTAGCAGAAACCAGCACTAGAAATGCCAAAGCCGAAATGAGGTGGTTATTTTCTTTTTTTATCGGTACCAGGGATCGAACTCATGACCACCTGCTTTCAAGGTGGGTGCTTATGCCGCTCAGCTAAATCCCCAGTCCACTGGTTATTTTCTTGAATCATTCCTTGTATTGAGTCAGTTTTAAGTGAGCATTGTTAGGTGCTGTGTAGTATTCCTGGCATGAGAGATAGTCAGCTAAGGACCCCTGCCTTATGGAGCTGGAGCAAGAGGGACAGTAATCCAGGTAGATAAGCAACACAGTTTACATCTTGCTGGATACCTTGAAGGGACAATGTGAGGGTGGGCTGGGAGAGGTGGGCAAATAAGTGGAGGACCCAGTTTTCAAGTTGTCCGCTACACTTAGGTGGAGGGGCTACAGGAGGCCTCCTGGCAATATTTGAGCTGAATTGTAGGATGAGAGAAACCAGCCTTGGGATATCTGGAAAAGCATTTCCTGGGAAGAATAGGTTTCAAAGGTCTTGGCGAGAGCACTGACTTTGTGTGCTAAGGTATAGCCAGAGGGCTCGACAGCTGCATCTCAGTGGGCTGGGGCAGCAGGCCAGAGAAGTGGCCCCCGCAGACCTGGGCGAAGGGGTTTGAGTAGGAACCTCACATTTCAGCGGGAGCTGCTCGGTGGTGCTGTGTTTGGAACTCTCATCTGGGGCCATTTTGTTGCCCCCAGCAGTGTAGGGACATTGTGGGTTGATACAGCTGTGTGCCGTGATGCTTCCCGCAGGGGGCCGCTCTGCATGCCATAGTGTGAGAGCAGCTTGTGTGGACCCTTCTTGGTTGTGCAGTGACCTGTGGCAGCTGGAGAAGAGGAGCAGGAGCACAGGTTAGATTGGGGAGGCGGAGGACTCTGGAGGGTGTCTGGAGGCAGGAATCGGATGCCCCAGGCCAGGCCGCCAAGGTGCATTGCTGGGATTGGTTTGCATGCGGTTGGATGGGCTAGCAGTCGCAGTTGGCTTGGTTTTGTGGGGAGGGAGTGGTGTGGCTGGTGTCTGGATTGGTGGCTGGCCCCGCTGCCAGCACCCCGTGGAGCCCAGGTCAGCCACGCAGCGTGAAGGTCCGGCCCCAGTGACTCTGCCCTTGGGCTTGGATTTGGAGCATCGAGTGGAGTGAGGGTCCTGGGTGCTGGAACCCGCAGAGACCAGGAAGAGGAGGAAGAGCAGAGCGCTGGCTGGAGCCCAGCAGGGGGCAGTGGGGAAGGAGGAGGCAGCCCGTGAGGTGCTGGCCGCCAAGGAGGGCAGCTGGCCGTGCAGCTTGGCACATGGGCCCCCGTGTGGGCCCCCAGCCCGTGACGGTCAGCACATTACAGTCCTGGCTGCAGTGAGTTGTGTGGACACACCATGGCCGGGGAGGAGGCTCAGGGTGCCCAGGATGGGTGACTGTGAGGGGCCCGGGCCGGAGCTCAGACTCCCCTGTGGAAATGGAGCTTCCTCATCCGGGTCCCTTGTTCCTGAGACCTGGAGGATGTGGCAGTCAGGGTGGTGGCCTGGAGTTCTAATTCAGAGTGACTTTTGGTTCCTCGCTTGAATGAGGAGGGACCCACCCGCTGTCTGGAACAGTCATTGTTCCCAAAAGGGTGGCTTGCTTTCCCATGGCCGCCTCCCACCTCTGCACCCTAAAGAGAAACGCTGCGTGGAGGCGTTCCCACGGTGACATTTCCTCTGTGCTACTCATGCCTGGCCAGAGCAGCTCCTTCCCTGCCCCGGGCGGCCACTGAGCCTCTGATGGTTGCTTGGGGCTGGTGCCTGGGAGTGCAGGAGCCCACTGTCTTGTGTCACTGTGGTAGTCTTGGCTCCGGGCGGGTGAGGGACTCTGAGGCCCTGCTGTCCCCTCTCCCTGGTTATTGTCCAGTCTCCAGGGCACGCTTCTTACCTTGGTCAGGGAACAAAAGCCCTGGAGTGGAGGTGGTTTTGTGGGCTGGAATTTCAGTTCCTGACAGAAAGAGGACCCAGTACCGTGGGTGGGCAGACGGTCGGAAGTGGGAGGAAGCGGGATGATTCCCCTGTGATTGCCCGCGGCTGGCCCAGTGCTTTATGGAGCTTGGCTGTATCTGTTGGCCTGACAACCTTGACCAGGCGAAAATGATAGTATTAGAGATGATAGTGAAATTACTGTTTTTTAATTTATTCTTGAAGTTATTTAGAAAGACAGGATTTCAATTAAAAAAATATCCTGGCAGAAGCAAAATTATGGGGATTGGAAGCAGAGCAGTGTTTGCCTTGGTGGAAGCAGAGGGGAGTGTAACTGTAGATTTGGAGAAAATACTTTGGGGAAAGGAGCTGCCCTGTGTTCTCTGTGTAGGGTAATACATGTGTTAAAAATTGCAGACTGGGGTTCGCAAAAGTGAATTTTACTGTTTGAAAATTAACCCCCCCCACCTTTCAGGTAGATAATAGTCCCATTTTATAGAAGTGACAGTTGAGGCCCTAAGAAGCAAAGTCTGGCTGGGAGCACATGATTTATTGTTGACTTTGGCCTCTGGCCGCAGACCTGTCTGCTGTAAATCCTGGGCTCTTGGCTGAGACTCTTGGCCTAGTTGCAGCCCAACAAGACAGGGGCGTGCAAGGCCTCCACAGGATGCCTCCTGTGCCCAGCGGAGGGTCAGGATTCGCTCTGGGCAGTGATAGCACTCAGGGCAAAGGGGCTCCTCAAGAAAGTAGCTCCGGCTGGTTGTCAGGCTGTTTTTATGCAAACACGCCTGGCGTTTTTCTTAAAGTTGCTATCAACTGCATTAAAAACAACAGAACTCCACATAGGCTAAAGAAATGGAACCCAGAATACACATGTGCATCCCGTTACAGCCCAGATGACAAAAGCCTGCCCGTAGAAGTCAGCTGGCTTCTTCAGGACAGTGAGTTAATAACTCTGCATTGTGAACATGTGGTGTGAGTGGGTGAGGTGTGGAGACCTGGCTCTCACCCTGCGCTTGGCTCGCTGTCTGGAGCCTTTTTTGTTCTCTTTGAAGCAAGAAGCCTGAGCCCTGCTGGCTTGTTACAGCTGTGATTCAGTGGCGCTCAGCAATCGTGAGTCTGAATGTGTTCCTAAGACCAGGTGAAGGGCATACCTGACTCCAGCTAAACTCTTTCTGTTTTTTAAGATAGTTGGGAATGAATGCAGGGCCTTCCCCTCTCCCTATTTATTAATTTTTGTGTTTTGAGACTACTACTGCTGCTATGTAGATTCAGCTGGCCTTGAACTCACCGTGTTGAGTCCAGTCTGGCCTTGGACTCATGGTGATCCTCCTGCCTCAGCTTCCCCAGTACTGGAATTATAGGTGTGCACCACCACACCTGGCTCCTAGTTCTTACGTTACACAGAGTGAACAAGCCCAGAAGTTTGCTGCTCCTGGTAGTGACTGGCTTTTCTGCTGATTGAGTTCTCTGTCCCGGAGCATTTCCACTTAGTTCCTGCTGCTGCTGATAGGCGGCTAGTGCCTTTTTCTTCCTAAGTGAGGATCAATCGCTTAGATATCAGGGATTCCTGGAGAGAGAGGTGTGGAGTCATTGTCTTGACTTCCTTTCCAGTGAGTGAGGTGCAAGGTGTCTGCTCGCTGTGATGGGTGGATAGGTCTGCCAGAGCCCCTGTACCTCACCCACCACAGAGACTCACCTGGGCCCCGGAGGTGACAGTGGTGACACTGGGACCCCATGTCGCCCTGTTTCTATTCTGTGCACCTCCTCTTCCCACTCCGGTGCTAATGTGCTTACCATCCACTGCTCGTCCATGGAACACATTGGGGTTTCATGTCAGTACATAGAAATCTGCCCCAGGTGTCCTTTAGCTGCGATGTTTATCCTAATTCCATTTCAAGGTAAGTGGAACATGTATTGAGGCACCTTAATTTATTGACTATGAATTGTTTTTCCATTTGTTTGCTGCTGCTAAGTGCCACAGTAAAGACCCGGTTGCCCACGTGGGAGTGGATGCCCAGGGTGAATTCCTAGACATGGAGGCGAGGGTCAGGGGCCATGTGTGGTTGACATTTTGAAAGACAGTGCCAAATTACCCCCCACAGAGGTGGTTCTGATTTGTGCTCCCTGCAGAAATGTAAGATGGTGCCTCTTTCCTTCTCTAGCGTGGGTTTTTTTTTTTTTTTTAAATCACTGGTTCCCATTTATAGCCTGAGCTGTTTTCATATCTGCTGAAAAGTGTAACATGTTGTCACCTGGGTGGATTCTGAAGCTATTCCCCATATAGAAGGGCAGGGGTGGGGGAAGAGCTTGATAAGCTTCTATGAGCGGATGAGAAAAAGCTGTGTTTTCTCCCTGCAGAGGAGGTCAAAGTCAAAATGCAGCTGAACTTTTGAAATCAGATAATTATATATGGCTGCCATCCTGAAGTGTCTGTTTCTAAGGTGCAAACCCAGCCACCACTCATTGGGGGTTTTATTTGTGTAGGAGTAAATATAAAGAATTGCTTATGGATTGGAGAAACTTTATTTTGTAAAGTGGGTGTTTTTCGTCTTTGTTTCGATCTTCATCATGAACATTCCAGGATTATCTTGGTAGAGTAAAATTGAGCTTGCATTTACAGTGGGCATCCACGTAGATGCAAAGACCTGTGTGCACAGCTAGGTTGTTCAGACAAGGGGATGTAATCAATGTGTCATTTTTTTTTTTTTTTTGTCTTTTTCCCTTTTTTATAAATCGGTACTGGGGATTGAACTCACGACTGCCTGCTTGCAAGGCAGGCGCTTTTGCCGCTGAGCTAAATCCCCAGCACCTAATGTGTCAAATTTGAAATAGCTCTAAGGAAAGGCTGATGTCATTACCCAGTCCCCGGAGTTCAGGCACACTGTGTGCTTTCCTTACATGTAAAACTGGTCTGATGTGGAGGTTCTTGACCTGAGCAGCCAGTGGGCATTGCTTACACTGGGCCTTCCCCAGGCATTATGAGCCCGTAGCTCTCGGGGCAGCACCTGGGCATCAGGATTGGCTAATGCTCTACCGGCAACTTCAGCGTGCAGCCAAGATCAGCACCATTAAGGCAGGGCGTGGCTAAGCTCTGAGCCAAACCGGCCCCCACCTGTGTTTGTAAATAAAGTTCACTGAGCTGCAGCCCGGATCCATGGTTTGTTCGTGTACAGAGGATGGCTTTACGGTGGGGCCTGCATGGCCTGTACATAGCCTCTGCTGTTGAGGTAACTGTGGAATCTGTCACTTCTTGGAAAGTATTTTCATGAGATGTTTCTTTTCCAATCTTGTGCCTAAAAATGCTGCCTTTTCCCTCTAGAATTCAGTATACATTTTAATTTTTGAAAATGGAATTTCGGGATATGTATCATCCCCCGTTCCCTTTGCTGTATCTTTTGCAACTTAGCGGTTGAGTTTGTAAGCCTCACATGTTCCAGTTGCTCCGTAGTCTGGTCTTTTGTACTTTGATGTTTTCCAGCTCCCTGTTCTTCTTTCCCCACCTGTTATAGCATCCCTAACTGTAGTTGTCTGTAAGCTCCTTCAAATGTTTGCAGACAGGTTGTTGTAGGCAGTTTTGTAATTTCTCCCATAAATGTGCGTGAAAACTCTTCCCCTCTCAGAGCCTGTCTCTGACAGCCTCTTTGGAAGCTTCCTGATCAAGTGCAAGTACACACAGGTGCACATACATATGAATACAATGTGCACATGTGAGTGTGTGCCCATGCCCACAACTGAACACATTTGTACACTCAGGACTTTCCTTGTCTTGAGTATACAGATGGTATTGCTGCTTGCCTCTGAATACTTACTTTGGAATCTCAGAGTAGAGGGATCCCCACATGTGTTTCAGGGGAAGAGCAGCGCCTCACATTGCCTTCTGGAACTTTGCAGGACCCCTGCCCTGCATGTTGTTTTGGGGTACTAGAGGAGGCAGCAGAGGCAGGAAAGGAGCTGAGACCCGTGTGCTCACTCACTTCCTTCCTGTCTGGAATCTGCCCCCGATGACCATGCAGAGCCCACGGCAGAAGTGCGGAGGGGACCTCGGGTCAAGTCATGGGCAGAGGCTTTGCCAGGCTGGGAGCCTGGCTCTCCCCTGAGAAGACCTGTAGTCCCAGGTTCGCATCCAGGCCAGGTCTCCCTCACCTGCCCCTCCGTAGCTGCTCTCGTCACAGGTGGGAAGGCTGCTTCCCTTATGTTTCTTATTTCAAACCCAACCCAAACTGGGTGATGGCAGATGAGAAACAAGCCTATGTGATAACGGGCAGCCAGGTTTCCCCGCCTCAGGGTGTCCTCTCAGGGCCCTGCGCTGCTCTCGGGCAGAAGCTCCCCGGATCTGGGAAAGAGCGGATGTGTGCCCTGGTCAGGCAGGTGTATGTGTGGATACTGACACTGAACATATCACTGCAACCTTGGGCTTTGGAGGAGTCCAAATGATGCCAGGTTCTGCAAACAGAGACATCTGGCTGAGATTGTCCACTTTAAATACTGGGCAGGGGGACACCCTGGACAAGTTGTTCAGGAGGTGACGTCAGCCTGCCACAGGTGTTTGTTCAGCTGTTGTCTTCAAGTCGCCCACATTGTTGGGCAGGTGATATGGGATGGATGACGAGACGACCCCTGGTTTTCCCTCCTTGAGTCCCGAAGTCACGTGATTGCTCAGATTTTGCCAGGAGGAAGCTCGGTGGTGAGCGCCGAGGGCTCACCCCCAGTGCCTGGTCTTACAGGGCTGTAATGCTGTCTTCCAGATCGCAGCAAAGCCGAGATGGACTTGAAGGAGCTAAGCGAGTCCGTCCAGCAGCAGTCGGCCCCGGTGCCTCTCATCTCTCCCAAGCGGCAGATTCGCAGCAGGTTCCAGCTGAATCTGGACAAGACAATAGAGAGCTGCAAAGCACAGTTAGGTATGTCTCTCGGTCTGTGGGTGGCAGTGTTGGCAGGATTGTCACCCAGATGAAATAAGGATTGAATCCTGCTTGCTCCTAGCAATTGCTTCGACCTTGAACCATTTTTTCAAATAAAATGTATTTTTACCCAGGGCACTGTTTGCAGACTTGCTAGCTAGTTAATTATCAGGAGGGCTCTTTGAACTCAGTACAGTTGATTCTTTTACAAAGGCACCCTGAAAACTTAAGGGTGCTAAATTTGCCTCTGTTTCCCCCTCAGTACAGGACAGTGTCTTAGTATCACCCCAAGTTTTTACCCGTGTCTAGCATGGAGCCCCTTCCCAGCCCCGCAACCTGGCTCCTGCACCTGCTTGGGTACTGTCGCCTCCCCTCCTCCTCCTGTGCCGCCTGGCTTCATGCTGCCTGCCTGCCCTGCCTTTTCTAAGGCTGAGCTCAGGCCTCAGCTCCTCCAGAAAGTTTCCCTGCCTCATTTGGTGCTCAGGTGCCCGGGAGCCTACGTGGTCCCTCTGGTGGGGGGTTACGCTCCTGTTCTAGACCGAAGCTTTACAAGGATTTGCCTGCTTTATGGTTCCTGGTCCTGTGCACATAGGAGATGCTCTGGGATATTTGTTGGCTAAGTGAATGAGGCCAGGTGTGCATTTCCAAAACAGTGAGGGACAGCTGGACTCCAACAGAGGGCCATTCAGAGGTGAAGTTTCCAGCCTCTCTAGCTGTTTGAGGACAGAGCTGTAGTTGGCGTCATCTGGGTTTGTTCCAAAGACATTATTGTTCCTGTGGGTGCCCTTTAGTTAGGACATCTAGTGACAGGGATGACATTTGACAGGCCATTTAAATATCCTGTACTCTTGCGTCCTTCTATGAAGCTGTAAATTCCTTTATTACTGTTGTTAAGGTTTTAATAGTTCCCTTAGTGCTTTTACACACTGCACAGAGCTGAGCACAGTTCAGAGATCATCTGGGAGGTGGATCTGTTATTTGTCTCATTTTGCAGATGCAGAAACTGAGGCCCAGAGAGAGAGGTCATTGTTTGTAGTCACATAAGCAGTGAAAACAGGGGCCAAGGTTTGAATTCACATCCTTTTGGTCCAATACCAAAGCATTTTTTATCCCATGTGAGTCGTACTTGATCTTCTTGTATCCTTCTGGCAGCTACAAGTAGCACACACCCAGGATCCAGAAGTCGTCTCAGACCTGGGCATTTGTGTTTTGCGTATGTCCTTGCTGTGGTCCTGTTGGAGGCGGATCTAACTCACCAGAGGCTCTCCTGTGCCCTGGACTCTGCGTGGCCGCATTCTTTTTGCAGTTTTCTCTCGTGTCTAAGGGACCACAGAGTCACCTCAAGGTGGCCATTGCTTTAGAGGAAAGACAGTCCGAAGAGTTGCTTGGGCTTCCTTCTTTTCAATATGCTAGAGCCTAAGGTCACTTCCCTCCAGCATGACGATACCCACCCAACATGTTATTAGGAGCTGCAAGCATAAATGCCTTAAGTGGAGTTGATAGAAATGTACTTCAGCACATGTTTCTGAGTGCGAACCACCTGCTATTTTGTACTTTTCCCTTTTAATAAACACAGACTTAGATGATTATCGCCTTGTCCCTTTGTGAGTGGAAGAACAATGCAGACACTGTAGGCAGCCAGGGGTAGGGTTGGGCACCTGGGTCCCCTGGAGTCAATGCTTCTGCCCACCCAAAGGGGCCATAGTTTTTGGGTACCTCCCGTTCATCACATTGTGGACTTGTGTCCCAAAAAGGCCAGATATCTGCTTTTACTGTGGAAGCCTGCCACTTTGATTTCTATTTAAAATCTCCTGACTTGGGAATTGGGCAAAACATTCTAAGTTAAGAATAGCGAAAGCAAACAGATGCCCTGTGAACAAACCTTTACTTCCCCAGCAAAAAGTGTCTGCAGGCCTGCATCCTCTGGTTGATCTCGAGCCCTGGACATTATGCTTTGGGGAAGTGTAGGGAAGGAGCACTCATAGGGTCAGGAGTTCCTAGGCCAAGTATCCTAGGCCAAGTCATGTCTCTGGGCCTCCGTTCTCTGATCTGTATGTTGGATCAGTTTGGACAGCTCTTCCCTGCTGACCTTCCCTGTCTGCTCATGCTTTGTTCTAGTGAGCCAGCAGTGTCACAGAGCTTTAGCTCTTTAGCTTGCATAAATGTTACAGGCAGTTGGTGGCTTCCACGCCACCTCTGAAGGTAACTGCAGCCCTCTGCAGTCGCAGGTTCCCTGGGCCAGTTCTAGACAGTTGCTACGTTAGTTCACCGTGATCTCACTCGGCCATTGTGATGAGATTTGCAATGTATTCCTGCATTTGGCGTGGAAAGTGTTTGCATTTTGTGATCTTGCTCTTTATTTTGTGACTACGCCACATGCTGGGTTTTCTCTTTGAATTTAGGCATAAATGAAATCTCAGAAGATGTTTATACGGCCGTAGAGCACAGCGATTCAGAGGATTCCGAGAAGTCAGATAGTAGCGATAGTGAGTATATCAGTGACGATGAGCAGAAAACCAAGAATGAACCGGAAGACACAGAGGACAAAGAGGGTAGTCGGATGGACAAAGAGCCATCTGCTGTCAAAAAAAAACCCAAGCCTGCAAACCCAGTGGAGGTCAAAGAGGAGCTGAAAAGCACATCACCAGTCAGCGAGAAGGCAGACCCAGGGCCAGTCAAGGACAAGGCCAGCCCTGAGCCCGAGAAGGACTTTGCAGAAAAAGCAAAACCGTCACCTCATCCCACAAAGGATAAGCTGAAAGGAAAAGATGAGATGGATTCCCCAACAGTACATTTGGGCCTGGACTCCGATTCAGAGAGCGAACTTGTCATAGATTTAGGAGAAGACCATTCTGGGCGGGAGGGTCGAAAAAATAAGAAGGAACCCAAAGAGGCGTCTCCCAAGCAGGACGGTAAGTCCTTCCGAGTTTTGTGTTTCTTCACTTGGTGTAGAGTCCCGGCTTGTGTTTGTGTTCTCAGAAGCCGTGGGACGCCAAGACCACTGAGGAGGCGCAGCAAAGCTGTGGTCACATCGAGGTCCCCAGTGACTGTCAAACAGGACTGATCCTTACATGCAGGCCCAGGCCTGTTCTATACCTGCTCAAGGACCAACTGTGACCCTAGAAAAATCAGGCTTTTGGAAAATGATGGTTCTCTCTAGCCTGAGCCCCTCCTTTACCAATATGCTCATTCATGGGGCTACAGTGTTAACATTCATGCGTTTGCCTGGGCTCAGGTGTTTGCACGCATTGCAGAGGTCATCATGGCTCAGCTGTGCCTTTCTCCCTATGCTGCCCAGGCACTGGTAGGTATATTTTCTTGGTACAACGTGAAGCCATTAGTTTAGGGTAGATACCAGCAGAATACCCAAGAGCTTCTTAGAGCCCTGGGAGTGGCAGGGGTATTGCGTAGTGGACTTGGCCTTAACCCATTTGAGAGCCTAGAGTTCCTCAGACTTGCACCATCAAGTTTGCCCTGTGAGATTCTTTGGCATGTGCCTTGGAGGCTGCTTAGGAGCATAGCTGGCTCTATCCACTAGATGGCAGTAGCACCCACCCAAGCTGTTTAGGTATCATTGACCAGTGTCCCCTTCAGGGCAGATCACCTGTGTTGAGAGCCACTGCCCGCTCCCACTGCTGCTGTCCTTCTAACCCAAAGCCCCACCAGCCCTCCAGCAGGAGCGAATGTGTGATGGGAAGGGTTCTTCTCTACCAAGGTCATCAGTATGTTTTTTCCTGTTGGCATGGGAAGAGGGTGGTGGAGAGGGGACTCTAACAAGCCCTGGAGGATATAGATGGCTTCCCAAGGACCCGGGAGAAACACTGCCTCTGGGCAAGTTAGAGGTTGTAGCCACAGAGCCGCAGGCACTCTGTGGGGAGCTCAGAAGCTTCTGACTGAGCCTTTCTTCTAACAGGAGCTAACTTCTCACTCAAACCCTCAGTGACATGTAAGTCTGTGTCCTTGGGAGTTTTCTCAGCCTGGCAGCTTAAAGCAAGTCCTTGATGTACCCTCAGCCCCAAGCTGGAGTGTGCACCCTGGGCTGTTCTGGAACCTCTGTTGTTAGGGAGACAGGCTTCCTGGGGAGAAGGGACAGGTCTCTTCAGTGGTGCAGGGGGGCCGAGAAGAAATGAGTGGAGAGGCTGACCGCGGACCTCCGTGAGCGGTCTTCTGTTTACGAGAGGCCTCTGCTGCATCTGGTGGGGTGCGGAGGAGTGAGGTAGGATCTGTGCTACTGCAGGCATGGTCAGGGTAGTGCTTACTCCACGAGGCTTGTGGGGACACTTGGGTGACATGTTCCTGTGTTTGCAGTCTTCCATTCTTCTGGGAACAGTTGTTTTGATAGACTGGTTTTATGCTCCTTCCTCTTCTAGGAAGAATTTGCAATAGATGGACAAGGACATATCATTATGAAACAATGAAAATAAAGAACTCGGTGCAAAAGCAGAAATAAAGGTAGAACAGTCAGTGGTCTAGGGAGAGGTTTTATGCAAAACCAGTTTTGGAGTTAGTGAAATTAAGTTCCATTTTGGTTCTGAGCTTCTCAGCACTGAAAGTCCACAGGGGAACGGTTTTAAAAGATCTTTCACTTTCCAAAAATTCCAAAGCATTCCACTTGATTCAAAGAAGTAGAGACTGTTTCTGGAATGATGCCTGAAGGGAACTTCTCCAGGAGACATAGTAGCTGTTAGACGATTGAGCTGAAGATCATTCTAGAATACAGTTCAGCTAGAACAGCTTCCTGGGGTTTGAAGCAGAACCAGCTGATTTATTTGGGTCTTGAAGAACGGCTTCTGCGTCACATTCCGCAGTAGAGCATCTGACCACTGTGTGCCTTCACTTCCTGACTAAGGAAGTAAAGGACATTTCAGCGTGAGCTGTGTTGACTTCTGGCGAACACTGAGCTCTGCGGTGGGAACACTGGATCCTTGGAGAGAAGAGCAGCTTTTGTAGCTGGCGACCTCAGGGCTGGGTGACAGGAGCTCCCTTAGTGACCCTGTCACACTGGTTCCTGGTCATGGCAGTCATTTCCGTCCTTCCCCAAAAGGGTGAGAATTCTTCCCGTAAAAAGCCCCCTTGGCCAGGCATGGTGCACACCTGTGATCCAAGTTTGAGTATTAGTGAGACCTTGTCTCAAAATAAAAGGTCTGGGATTGTAGCTCTTTGTGAAACCCCTAAATTCCATCTTTTCAACCATTTTCAAAAGTCTTCCTCCCGCCTTTTGGTCAGCATTTCACTGTATAGTTCAGACTGACTTTGAGCTCTCTTTGTAGCTCAGGCTGGCCTTGAACTCCTCCTGCCTCAGTTTCCTGAGTGCTGGGATTACAGGCGTGCACTGCCATATCCAGCTTCCCAGTATTCCCTTTATGAGTAAAACCAGTGACACATTCTGGAATGATTTGATCGCATAACTTCTGGGCCACTGGCCCTTGAAGGAATTCACCCTTTGGGGAGTTACGAATGATTGGTTATATATTCTAAATTTCTATGGCAAAATTTCCTATAGCATATTTGTTCTCCCCTCTAAAAAGTATAAGACTTTCCTATAAATTAAAATACTTTAGTATCTAAATGACAACTCTACCCCAGCAGTGCCTTAACCTGTAATCTTTTCAGATTCCAGCCGTCCCCTGCCCCCTTTTAAATTATAATAATAATGATAGTAATTTTTTTTTTAGGAAAAGAGCCAGCCAGCATGGCCACTGCAAAGTATTCCCCTCTGCAAAGCTGTTTGTTTGCTTTTGTGGCCTTTTTGTGAATGTCCTTTGCCTGAGGGGGACCAGGCTAGCTAATCAGCAATAATAGTACAGTTTTTTTTTTCCCTCAAGGGTAGAAAAGGGAGGCTTTGGAGGTGATTCTGCAGGTTAGAATCCCTACCAGCCACTGTGCCTCTGCCTGGATGTTAAGAGGGACCCTGTTCATCTGTCCCTGGAGCCTGCGGGGCTCCTCACTGCAGGAATAATTCTTCCAGTCCGCTGGGGTCCTGGCCAGCCATTGGGCCATGCTGTCCTCTCGGGGAGGAGCAGGAGGCTGGGCAGATGCAGGCTGCGGAGTGAGTAGGCAGCCGTCACCTCCCTCCCTCGCTGCCTCATCGCATAGCCCATGGCGATCCTCCCTGGAGTAGTCAAGCACCTGTCTTTTCAAGGACCTGGATGTGGAGCATGGCTTGAGTTGGTGCCCTCGGGAGGGTGGTGGTGGGGCGCTCACCTAACCTGCAGCGGGGCCTCTGCAGCCGTAACGAGCACCCTTGCCGGCACCCCCTTCCACGCTTTTCGGTGCTTCCGGCTCTCGCCTGCCTCCAGCCACTTCTCCAGCGAAAGGCTTCCCATTCCTGGACGCCCTGGTGCACGCTCTTCCTCCAGAGTCTCCTGTCTGCCTCTCAGAATCCTGGCCCTCGGTTCCCCTTGTCTTAGCTGTAGCTCACAGAGCGGCAGCTGTTAACCTTGAGTCCTTTATAGCTGCTGTTCTCACATCCTGCTTGGATCCTTCTTGGACTTATTTTTTTAGTTAGGGCAACTCAATTAAAATGGAATTCACTTAAGGCTCAAACTTGACCTCTGCACAGCAGGAAAGCCAGTGTGGTACACACTCTATTCACAGAAGCTGTGGCAGGAACAGAGCCAGAGCCCTGCTGCTCCAGTTCCCAATGAGTTCGTGTTTGGAGGCGGTCCTGGGCTCGGGCCAGCTTCCTGTTGGTGTTAGGGTTGGGGCCATCGGCACCTCCTGAGAGCGTCCTGGATGCAGGATGATTCTCTCCGTGAAGTAGGGGCCACCTGGTTCCCTGGGGTATGAGCCCTGTAGGCCCCCCTAACTTTGGCTGAAGGGTTTCTGATTCATATCTCAGTCAACTCCAGATGGACTTTCTTGAGGCATTTATCACCTATAGGTAAAGGCTTTTGTTCACTGCCACCTCACCAGTTAGTGGGCACCTGGAGGGCAGGGCTGGTCTTGTTCATCTCGTCCCCCCAAGGGTCCTGTCGAGGGTCTCAGATAAGCAGCATAAGCCCTGGGAAAGAGTGTGAGCCCCACCGGGGTGAGTGCAGCATGCTGAACCCCGAGACTCTCCTGGCCTTGGTTGATGTTACCCAGAACGCAGCAGTGTAAAGTCCCTCCCGGCAAACCTGAGTCCAACTCGGTTTTTGTTTGTTTTCACGCCTTGGCTGTAGTCGTCGGTAAAGCACCACCATCCACCATGGCAGCAGGCAGCCAGTCTCCCCCCGAAACGCCGGTGCTCACTCGCTCTGCCACCCAAACCCCCACGCCCGGCGTCCCAGCCACCACCAGCACGACGTCCACCGTCACGGCCACGGCGTCGGCCGCCGCTGCCACAGGGAGCCCGGTGAAAAAGCAGAGGCCGCTTTTACCGAAGGAGACCGCCCCGGCCGTGCAGCGGGTCGTGTGGAACTCATCAAGTAAGTTTCAAACGTCCTCCCAAAAGTGGCACATGCAGAAGATCCAGCGCCAGCAGCAGCAGCAGCAGCAGCAGCAGCAGCCTCAGTGCTCCCAGGGGACGAGATATCAGACCAGACAGGCCGTGAAAGGTACCGCCACCCCTGCCTCCGTGGCGCCCGCCCTCTTTTTTGCCACATGGACAGGAGAAAGACCTTTGCTGTTTGATTTTTAATTTTTTTAATTTTCTTTTTCCTTCTTTTTTTAAGTTCCCATTTGTGTCCTGGCCACTGTGTCCTTGAAGGCCTTCTGCATTCCATTTGACATTTTTATAAAAGATTGCTTTGCACCTTGCTTTTCAAAGCTTTTTTTTTTCCCCCCATTTTGTAAGTGATACATGCATATTGTACTTAGAAAGGGGACAGAATGTTTATAAAATATTTTAAGCATTGACCCCTTCGCCTTCCATTTCATTGTCTCTTCCTCAGCAACTGCAACCAACCGTTGTAAAACCCTTTCCTATGCATGTATATTTTTATATATGTGTGTGTGTGACACCGTCAGTACTGCCTTATTTTTTCCTTTTTGAAAGTAGGAGATGGTACCGTGCTTTCTTTTTTTCACCCATCAGCATGTTTTGGAAGTCTGTCTGTGTCCGTGCCTTGTTCTTTTGGGCTGCTGTGTAGCATTCCATAGTCTGTTTAGAGCATTTTCCTACTGGTGGGCCTGGAGCTGGCCTCTCGTTTTTTCCTGTCTTAAAGAGCGCTGCGATGACTATACCATGTAAGTTGCCTTATGCTTGGGAATGAATCTCTTGGCATTATTTTGGAAACAGCGCAGTGTGAAAAGTTGGTAGCAAAGTTGTCTTCAAACTAGGGATTTGCGGGGCCAGGGATTTAGCTCAGCGTCACAGCACCTGCCTGGCAAATTTGAGGTTGTGAGTTCAATCCCCAGCGCTGCCCTCCCTCCAAGAAAAAGATTTGCCACATGCATAGAATAAGGCCCATCAGGAACCGCTTGCAGAAATTGCAAAGTCAAACTCCCAGCAGCGATGCCTGATGCTCTGTAAGAGCAGACAAAATGCTGATCTGATCGGCACTGGCCAGCTGAGGTTTGTGAGCTCTGGAGCAGGTGTCATTGCTCAGGGAAACTAGCGACTTGCGGCATGATCCTCAGGCTCCTGGGTTGAAATTGTCACAGCGAGTAGGATCCTGAACAGCCCCAGGATGTGAGGCTGAAGGTAGCGAGATCCGGAATCGGCTCCCCGTGAAAACCATCAGGGATAAGGGGTGGGAGCAGGGACGAATGGGAAACTGTATTGGGCGGCTTGGAGGACAGCCGGGCCGAGCCTGCTGGGTAAAGCTGGTGGGGCATAGCTGAAGCAGGGCAGTGGGGTTAGGCCCACAGGCCACGGTCTGGCCTCGTATCCCGTAAGCCTTTGCGCCTTCTACAGGGGCTTCCAGGGTGCCAGAAAGAGACTGTGGGCTGTGGGGTTCTCAGGTTCCAGATTGCCTGTGTCAGAGTGAAGCCTAGTTGGGGAGGTAAGGGCAGATTAGAATCAGTAAAGTGTTACTGTCCAAAGGGGAGTTCAGCATGAATTCTACTCCTTTTTGATTTATGCCGAGGTAATAAAGAGATCGATCTTTTTTTTTCTTTCTTGCTTTTCTTTTTGTTTTTCTTGCTCTGCTGGGAATTAAACCCAGGGCCTTCTCACCGAGCTGCATTCCCAGCCCGTTAAAGTTTATGTATTTATTATTTACTTTTGAGACAAGGTCTTGCTAAATTGCTCAGTCCCCAGGCTGATTGTAACTATGATTTTTCTTTGCTTTTTGATTTTGATTTTGATGCTGGGATTGAACTCAGGGCTGTGCACATGCTAAACATTCCCTCCACCTCAGAGCCACCTCCCCGTCCTCCACCCATGGAGATTTTAAAGGTAGAGTGAGGAAGTAAGTGGTCCCCAGGAGGGGCTCAGGAGCCGGGGGAACACTAGGCTTTACAGGAAGCAGAAGGGGCCAGTTAGGTGAAACTTGTCTGGGTTTGCTCACGGACACTTAAAGGTTAGCTTTGTCCTCCTACAGAAACTGGGGGGCAGGGGCCCCATCTTCCGGTGTTAGCAGCCTGGAGCTCTCTCAAGCAGTATTTTAGGGGGGGCCCAGGCTCATCTGTCCATCTGTCCTGTGACCTTGAAGTCTGGAATAGCTCATCTTTGTTCAGATCTTTATAGTTGAAGGTTGGCCCCAGTTGGGAATGGGTCTCCGGAGGGCTCCCGAGAGTCTGGGTAGAGTCGGGTCAGGGTGAGGATGTTTGTGACTTGGAAGTAGAGAAGTTCCTCAGCACGTGTGAGGCTTTCCCTTCCACCCTGCCCTGCCACCCTGCCAGCTCTGCCGAGGTAACCAGCGCTCTTTGCCTTTCCTAGCTGTGCAGCAGAAAGAGGTCACGCCGAGCCCGTCCACATCCACCATCACCCTGGTGACCAGCACCCAGCCGTCGCCCCTCATCAGCTCGGGCGCCAGCAGCACCCTCGCCTCTTCCATCAATGCCGACCTGCCCATCGCCACGGCCTCCGCCGACGTTGCCGCAGACATCGCCAAGTACACTAGCAAAGTGAGTGGGCCAGCGGCCGGCAGGCTGCGGGAGAGCTGGCTTCCTGATGGGAACGCTTCAGGCTCTAATCTTGCAGGTTGCGGGAGTGTTTAGGAGAGAAGACCCTGTTTTTTGTTTTGCTACGTTTTGTAAAATTTTTTGGTACCAGGGATTGAATTTACGACCTCGTGCTTGCCAGGCAGGCACTTGTGCCACTGAACTAAACCCCGGCCCCAAGAGCCTGTTTTTAAAGAGGACTTTGCCTGGTTCTTACCTTCTGGCCTCAAGTTGGTTCTTAATAGAAAAATACAGAACGGAGTGATTCTTATTCCAAATTAGATTATAGAGGCAGTCCTTAAAATGCAAAATAGAATTGGGATTACCCTTGGGAATTTAAATTGCTCATTAAGGACCGATTTCCCTCAAAGTGCTGAAACCAGAAGCTGACCACGCTGGTGTGGTTTGTACTTGGAAGTTGCATGAGGTTTACAAAGCAAGAGGCCTGCGCCTTGTTTTTTGCTGGAACCAAGAGAGACTGGGGAGCTCGGGATCCCCTCCCTCATGTCACCGCATCCTCGGGGCACAGTCTTTGTCCATGGCATGGTGGGCAAATGGCCCACGGTGTGTCTTTTCCCAGCCACTCTGCAGGGCTTCACTGTTTCTCCCCATTTACCAGGTGCCTCTAGGGTCATTGTTGAGATTAGGTGAATGAAATGCTGCGTCCTGGGGGATCTCTGGGCTGAGGTGCTGACTCCCGTCCGTAGACCCCCAGGAGAATAACGATCCAGGAGCCCTGGCTCCGACAGTCTGCTTGCTCCCCACCGAGACCAGAAGGGTGCCTGGCATTGGGCGGGTGCCTGCTGTGGAAGTTGCTGAGAGTGCATGTTGCCTACCTCGCTTTTGGGCGAAGTACTGTGAATAACTTAATAGCCAGTAATCTGCTATGTGTGCATTGAGCTGGCTCCACAGCACCACCTGGTAATAGACTGCGTAGTGAACTGCACAGTACTAGTAAGGCATTCTTAACTAATGAGCAAATTACTGCCTGGTTAGTTACAAATGAGTTAATTTCAAGTTTATAGAGAATGGTTGAAGAGTTGTTTCTAGATTTTAAAATTTTATTTTATTTTATTTTACTTATTTGTCTTTTTGGTACTGGGAACTGAGCTCACTGCCTTGTACTTGTCAGACAGGTGCATGTGCCACTGGGTTATATCCCGGCCCTTAGGTTTTTTTTTTTTTTTTTTTTTTTTTTAACGAAAAGGTCAAGCTTTGTAATAAAGAGCTGCTTTAATATATTGAGTTCAAAGTAGAATTTGTAAAATCTAGATTGTGAGATACACATGTGTCTTAGTTACTTTTTACTCGTTGCTGAGACAAAATACCTGATGCTGAACTTTTTACTCGTTGCTAATACCTGAAGCCCAATGTTGGGAAAGGAAAGGTTTATTTCTTACAGTTTTTGGAGGTTTCAGTCCATACTCAGTTGGCTCCAAGGCAGGGTGGCACGGTGGGGCTGCAGTTCATGGCGGCTGCAAACAGCAAGATATAAATTGGTAAGAGATAGAGACACCTTCTTCCTGCCATTGGATTACATCCTGGCTCCACCCCTAGGCCGGTGCAGCACTGACACCATCAATCCAAGCGTTAGACAATGAACCAATCATAAATGCACAATGCAAAGGCGTGAGGCCTGGGAGCCACCGATATAAACCATGACAACATGTAATTCTTAGATTTTCCTTTTTCTTCCTTCTAGCAAGATGTCATTGTTATCTTTAGCTGTGTACTGGAATCAGCAAAGCTTAGAGATTTCAGCCAGCACTCACACCTGTGATCTTTTGGTTTCTGTGAGGTGGGCCTTCTGCCTTGGGACCTTACACCTCTACCTGGTGTCCACCATGATTCGGAGCTCACAGAGGGGGCTCATGGGGAAGGGTCCACTTGCTCAGGGCTGAGCTTTAAAGCTTCCTAGAGTCTGGTGGTAATAGGAGAGACTGCACATGCCCACAGGAACCAGAGTCAGGATCTCTAGGAGCCATTGTAGACTTGGTCCGTCCTGGGCGAGACAGCAGTGACAGAGGCTCGTGTCTGCACAGCGGCTGCTCTGGGCCACACGCTGTTCAGAGCACTTGTCATCGGTTTTCCTTCAGTCTTTGCCCCTGGTTGATTAGGTGGGTGTTACCATCGTTCCAGTTTTATAGATGAGAAAGTGAAGCCCAGCAGCGCTGTGTCCTGATCTGGAGTCCCCAGCTGATGAGTGGCAGAGTTGCAGTTTGCAGGGTGGTGGCCAGCCTCTCAGCGTGTGCTTAACCTGGCCAGACTGGGCTGTGAATTCAGCGTTCAGGGTCCGCAGACCTGTGCACGTCTCTCCAGCAACTTCACGCAAGCTTTAGTGTGGCCGATGAGGTGATGGAACTGTGCCTTGGACCTTGTTTAGTTTTTTTTTTTTTTGTACTAACAATCAAACTCAGGACTTTGCACGTGCCTGAGCTCTATCCCTGACCCTAATTTTGTTTCTTAATTAGAGTGCCTATCCTTCTTTTCAGGAAAATGTTTGAACTGTCCTAGAAACCCTGGGGTTCAGAACAGGAAGGATTTGGCTAGGCCGGGTGGTGCACACCTATAATCTGAGCACTCTGGGAAGCTGAGGCAAGAAGATCAAAAGTTTAAGCTCAGTCTGCTCAGCTTCCTGACAGCAAGACCCTGTGTCAAAATTAAAATGATAAAAATTAAAAAGGACTGGGGAGGTGGCTTAGTGAAGCCCTGAATTCAATCTAACAAAAGCAGAAAGATTCAGAGGTCAGACAGTTCTCGCCATTCATGATTGTTTTCTTACCTGCTGACAGAATGACTTGGCTAAAATTTTTGTTTAAATATAATTCATTTTATTTCAGTCAGCTTCGCTTAAAAACTTAAAAAAAAAGTTTAATCCCACCTGATTCAATTTCTGTCTCGAGATTTGAGGCCTAGGTCCATTTTTCTTGTTTTGAAAAGGGAGCTTGTGTTGAAGGTGACAGCAGCAAAGTGAACCTTTCCAGCTGCAGCATTCCCTGCGGTTACCAGGGAATTGAAAGGTGGCGTTTCGTTCCTAACCCAAGAAGTGTCCGCTGTCACCTACGTAATCTGCGACTCTGTTCTCAGACCCTGGTATCGTCGGCTATTGATTTGGTCCAAGCTCTTTGTTTACAAATGGATAAGCGGAGACCTACCAGGTGGACTTGGCTTGTGGTTTGCACCAAGCCCCCTTTCCGAGCCCCTGCGGCCCCCTTTCCTCTAACAGCAAAAGTCGGGAACGACCTGGCTTGGTAAATGTTTTCCTTATAGTTTACAGAAATGGACAGGAGCCTGGCGGCGGGGGGGTGAACCCTCCTGTGTCCTGCGCGACTTGGAGTTGAAGACCCACGTTTGTGTGTTTTGGCAGAGAGAGACTTTTATTATTAATGTTGAGTTCTTTGCTATATTTGGAAGTGAAAGGCAGCCCACAAATTCATGATATCTTGAAAATGGAATGTAAGCATTGCGTTAGTAATGTATTGATTTCCATCCACTTTGTAAGTGCAGCACTTTGGTTGTGTTTTTTGTATGGGCCTGATCGGCTCAGTGGTGATCTGGGAGTCTTGAAACACAACCGTTGCACAGAGCGCGTGTGTTTGTGCTGGCAGCTGCCTGTGTGGGCCCCGCGGCACGCGGAGAACGGATATCTCCACAGATATTTTATTCACTGGACTCTCATTCTGGGGTGAAGTGGGGGTTGGCAGCAGTTAGCAATTGCAGACTCATACAAGTATGTTTCTCTGTAAAAATATGATGAACAGAACATTTACCTCGGGAACGGGTGTTAAGGCAGCTGGGCTTTGCTGCGTGTTTTTCTCATTTATTCCCTGTGTACAACCTGCTGGGGGTCCCTGTTGTTATCTTTGGTTTTCCATGAGGAACCCGAGACCCCGAGTACAGATGATGAGCAGAAACTCAGCAGAGGCCAGGGTGCACTTGGTCCCGCCTTCCTGCGGAACAGGAGATTCTGGAAAGCACGGGAGGGACCGGCAGCAGTGGGGCAGGCCTGCGACGCTGTCTGCTCCCCTGTCCCCCGTGTCCCTGCTGTGCAGTGCCAGGGTCAGCCAGCCGGGGTTAGGAGAAGAGGCGTTTCATCCCACAGCATTCGCTAAGCAGAGGCCTGGCTGGCTGCTGAGCAAACTTGCTGATGCCTGCAGGGGTCAGGTGGTTAAAGAAGGAGAGGGTGCCACATGGGCTTCGAGGCAGTGGCCAGATCAAAGCCGTTAAAAGGCCAGCGCAGGGACATCTGCCCGGTGCACTAGAAAAAGGAACGAGGCTCTCACCCCTGCTATGGCCGGAGTCAGCCTGGACGCAGTCACCTGGCCTGCATATTGTGAGAGCCCATTTATACACAATGTCCAGAGCAAGAAAATCCATAGAGATTTGCAGAAAGCAAATTAGTGGTTGTCAAGGAGACACGGAGGGGGTGATGTGGGGAGAATTGGCTAAAAGGGAAAGAGTTCTTTTTGGGGAGCAGTAAAAGTTCTAGAATTGTGATGATGGATATGTAACCAAATATGTTAAAAGCCATGGGAAAGAGGCATTTGCTTCTTTTTTTTTTTACATTTTTGATGCCACGGGTTGAGCGGGTCTTAGTCCTCCGGTCCTGTGCTGTACCACTGGGGTACGCCTCTGCCCCTAACTGTGCACTTGAATGGTGAGTTGTGTGTTGTATGAATTACCTTTCTTTAAAACACACTTTTGTTTTTGAAAGGATAAAGAATTAATAGTAGCAAAGCAAAATGATCTCGCCCTCATTGGCTTAAGTAAAACATCCAGGGGCTCAGCGGCCGTGGCAGGCAAGCCAGCGCTACAGTTGTGTCGCCCTCCAGAGCAGGAGACCGGAACTGTGGTGATTCTCGCCTTGCTTAGTATCAGGCTTTCTCCGCCTCAGTGTCGTGATGGAGGTCGCAGGAAGGAGGTCGTTCTTGGCTGTGGGACGTCTTGGACACTGTGAGGCATCCGTCAGCACCCCCAGTTTCCTCCCACTGGGTCCCAGCTGCAGTCTGTCCTCCGCTCCCTCCCCTGTCACAACCTCCAAAAATGACCAGTGTCTCAAGAGGGACACTGTCTCCTAGGCTTGAGAGCTGCTGCGTCACTCGCATTGGTGTTAGATTGATGCCCCCTTCTAAAAGCCACAGAGAGCGATCATGCGAATTGTTTCTGTTTTTATCTTTCAGATGATGGATGCGATAAAAGGAACCATGACGGAAATATATAACGATCTTTCCAAAAACACTACTGGAAGCACAATAGCGGAGGTCAGAGATGACACATGAGTTCTTCCTTTGCTGTGGCTGCACACAAGGAAGCTGCCCAGAAACCCTGCAGGGGTCCCTGCGCTGGTGCCTGCTGGCTGTGGGTGGAGGCGGGTGCTTCTCACTTGGCCAGGTGCAGGCTGGTGCCCTGCACTGTGTGATTTGTTCACTTCTAATTGAACAACCAGCACCATGGTTGTGTTAACCCACTGGGAGTGGGAGTGAGTTGAATATGTATGTTAGTTTTCTTTTTATTAGTGTGACCTTCTTGGTGATTGTACTGGGGATAAGGACAGGTGTGTGCTTATAGGTCCATGCCAGATGTGCTGGCATCTGCCCGCAATCCCAGCATCTGGGAGACTGAGGCAGGAGGATCAGCCTGGGCTTCATAGGGGGAGCTTGTCTCCAAAAAAGAAAACAAAACGACAATAGAGAGAAAGCATAGGTGCATATTACCCCTTCTGATCCAGATGCATGCCAGCATTTTTCGAGTTTTAGAGAGGTAACATGCAGCCCTAGAGTTAGACCCTGTACTTCTGTAGTGAAATGTGATCTGTAGTGAAATGTGATTATTCACACTGCTTGGTACGAATGGTTTCCTCAAGGTCAGTGTGACTGATGTTTGCCCCACGCAGCCCCTGCCCTGGGGCATCCTGGGGTGTGGCATGTTCACCACCAGTGCTGGCCTGCACCCCTAAATGCCGAGTCGCTCTCTCTAGTTGTGACAGCCAGCAGTGACTCCAGACATGGTCATTGGCATTGGCGGCAAGCTGCCTTGCTGTGACAATGACACATGGAAATGGCTTTATCACTTCAGCTCAGTTTACTTTTTCTTTCTATATCACTTTGGCCCCAGTTTGTCCATCTTTGAAAAGATGTGTGATTATTAGCTGTTGGGTTTTGGAATTGCAGGTGCGGGACTCTGGACCTTTCTATGCCCTATATATGATGGTTATAGCCACCTAATGTTTCGTCCAAAATTATCAGTTTTTTGATGTTTTATTTACATGAAAATATCTTCACTTTCTGTGGCTTTCTCTGCTTATATATATATATATATATATATTTTTTTTTTTTTTTTTTTTGAAAAGGGAATCAGCCTCTGTTGTTTCTGCAACAGTATTCTTGTGACTTAGGGTTCACCCAGGTTCCCCCATCTGTGTTGTGGAGCTGTGGGACGTCAGCACCGAGCCAGTCACCTGCAGCCTGGGTCAGCCCCCGGGGGTCCCTTGGGCCGGCCTGGCCCTTACTCTGCTCTCGTTGCAGATCCGCAGGCTGAGGATCGAGATCGAGAAGCTGCAGTGGCTGCACCAGCAGGAGCTGTCCGAGATGAAACACAACTTGGGTGAGGCCCGTTTGAAGGCTGGACTGTTAGCATAAAGATCAGCCACAGTGTCCTAGCTGATAGATTCCTCCTATAAGAAAGTATGTCTGGGGCTGGGGAAATAGCTAATCAGGACAGGCGCCTGCGTGGAAATCGCAGGGTCCTGAATCCAATTCCTGGTACAAAAAAAAAAAAAAGAAAGAAAAAAGGTCTTTCTGTGAAGTAGGCTTCGTGCTGCCTTGTCAGCTGGTGCCTCTGTTTCCCCTCTGGAGAGGGGTAGGAGGATAGTACCCAGAAGGATTTGGTCATTATAAAGACTACCTGAGTTAGTATTTATGTGTGTTCAGGCCTGCGCCTGCAGTTGTTGTGTAAGTGTTCCTAGATGGGGAAAAGCCTTACACTGCCGTTGAAATTCCCATCATGGATTCGGGTGAGGTTCACCGTGGGGCTCAGCGTTAGGGTACCAGCCGGCATCCGCAGCCAGCGGGGGCACTTCGAGTCGGGATGTGTGCCACTGTCCTTTCCTCCCCCGCCAGAGCTGACCATGGCTGAGATGCGGCAGAGCCTGGAGCAGGAGCGGGACCGGCTCATCGCCGAGGTGAAGAAGCAGCTGGAGCTGGAGAAGCAGCAGGCGGTGGACGAGACCAAGAAGAAGCAGTGGTGTGCCAACTGCAAGAAGGAGGCCATCTTCTACTGCTGCTGGAACACCAGCTACTGCGACTACCCCTGCCAGCAGGCCCACTGGCCCGAGCACATGAAGTCCTGCACCCAGTCAGGTAACGGGCGCCCGCCTGCCCCTGCAGCGGCCGGGTGTCGGCCTCCTGTGGGCCACAGGGCCTGGGTTGGGGTCAGTGCCCCAAGGGTGCCTGGCCGACCTTGTCGCTCCGTCTCACAGTCACATCGTGTGCATGTGAGAGTGAGGTGCAGCCACGTTGCTGAGACTTGTGGCCTGGTGGGTTTTCTTTTCTTTTTTTTTTTTTTTATATTAGGAATTGAACTCAGGACCTTGAGCTTGCCAGCCAGGTGCTTATGTGCTGAGCTGTATCCCTAGCCCATGGCCCGGTGGTTTTTGATCTTGACTCCTTTGCAGGGATGTCCCGACATCCTGCAGTATATAGTGCGGGCCTCGGAGCACAGTGATCTGGCTGAGTGTGCGTGGTACTGACACTGAGAACCTCTGCTCTTCTGGGGATTAATGGAGCTAGGGCTTTAAATAATCTGAATTTCAGTTCCTGAGGAAACATTTGGGTTTGCAGCAGAGCTGTCACTGAGGCTGCTCCAGAGCATTTGCAGTCAGCCTAAGAGAGAAGGTGAAGCTGCAAGCCCAGTGCCTCCTGCAGGGGGCGCTCGCTCCGCGTTTGCGGACTTCACTGTAACACCGAAAAGTGAATCTTTGCGGTTAATGTTCACTATGACCACCCCTGCTAGCCTGCTGTAGTTAGAATTAAAGTCTTGGTCTGGAAGTGGAGCTCCTGGGTGTAATGCTAGTCTGGCCTTCACAGGCCCTGGTTTCAATCCTCAGCACTCTATAGAAAAATAATAATAACTAAAAGTCTCCATCTTAAAGAATGTATTAAAAATACTTACAAATAACACAAGGTGGTACATGGCAGATCTGTAAAAGAGCTACGTGATTTCCATTTGAGAACTTCCAGCGTAGGGACCCGCACGCTTCTTGTGGGAGGGGCCACAGAGAATACGTTAGGCTTTGTGGACCACAGGATCTGTGTCACAGCGCCTTACCTTCCCTGTGCCAGCTCAAAGGCAGCCCCCGCTACAAGAGTGGGTGGAAGGGACGGGGACATAGCGCGGTGGCACGGTGTCTACCTGGCAAGGACGAGGTTGTGCATTTGATTCCTGGTACCAAAGAATGGGGGGGAGGGGAGTGGAAGGGCTTTGTACCTATAAAAGTTCATTTGTAAAGCTAGGGGGATTTATTTTACGATTCCTTCAGTGGAGTCGCGTCCCCTGGTGCCTTCCCTAAGTTCTGCGGTGTCTGCAGCCTTGTGCTGTCATCAGGAGATGTTCAGGGTGTCCCTGAGCTTTCCTTTCTTAGTGGCAGGACATCTGTTGACCATAAATTCCTCTCAGATGCCCCTGTTCGTCCTAGTTCCTGCCACTGCCAGCAGAGCTGTGCCTCCCTCTGACAGGGTCCTTTCTCATGGCTCCCTTGCCCTGTGTCACACTAAAACAAGTCCACAAGGTGGAGACAGGTCTGAGCCTGGGCACTGTGACAGAGAGCGTGTCTCCCTGCGTAGTCATGGTTGACTGGCGTGGATGAGGGTCATTGCTCCGAGACTGTGCTTCCCTCCCAGAGTGATCGGAAACTTGAATTGCTGAGCAGTAGAAGCTAGTAGGAACGCAGCTTCTGGCCAGGAGGCCTGGGTCTGTGGGATGGGCTTGTAGCCACCTGCTTTGCTGAGCTTGTTTGGCCACATTGGAGCCCAGCCGTGGGGCTGCCAGTGAGGCCCAAAACCATACATTTGGCTTCTTTCTTTCCTCCTTGTCCCCAGCTACCGCCCCTCAGCAGGAAGCGGATGCCGAGGTGAACACAGAAACACTAAGCAAACCTTCCCAGGGGAGCACCTCCGGCACCCAAGCAGCCCCTGCGGACACGGCCAGTGCCTCCAAGGAGAAGGAGCCATCGGCCGAGAAGAGCAAGGACAGTGGCTCGGTGAGGGGCCTGGTCACGTCGGGTGACCCCCACCTTCTTGCCTGGGAGCTGCTTCGGGCCTCTCCCCGTGGTCCCTGGCAGGACCGCAGGGTGCAGCAGTCTCACCAGTGTGCCTTACGCGTGCCCAGCACAGGGACCATCGCCTGCCGCTGTGGAGGACTCAGAATGTGGCTCACGTGACCAAGGACCTGGGTTTTCAGTTTTAGTTAATTTTAGTTGATGTAGATTTAAATTGCTAATTGTACCAGCTTGGATCGTGAAGGTGGCACCTGCTCATTTTCTACCATGTGGTGTGTGACATTAATTTTATGCAAAGACTGTTTACAGGCACACTAATCAGTTTTTACCTTTTCACCCGTTTGATACACAGGGAAAACCAAAACCACGCTATCAGGAAAAACACTCGTTTCAGTGGTATTGTTCCTTAGTACAAGGCTAACATGATAATAAAGGGAATTGATGGAGGTGGCGAGGGTTCTGAGAGTTTCAGACACAGAATGCTCTAGAAGCCGAGACTAGTGCTGAGCGAGGGGCCGGCCACGTAGTGCTGTGCTCTGGTGTTGAGTCTGGGGACAGCACAGGCGTGTGGAACCTGCGTGACGCGGCTGTCACCTGACCACAACGGGGACGGGCACTGAGATGCCTTACGGGGAGTGGGGAACACTGTCACGACACACTCGGTTTCCCAGCGTCCTGAATCCATCTTTGTTTTGTGTCTCTAGACCCTCGACCTTTCTGGCTCCAGAGAGACGCCCTCCTCCATTCTCCTGGGCTCCAGCCAAGGCTCTGGTATGTTGCCCTCTGGTGGGCGGATGGTGCTGAACGTGGGGCAGGTGCGCAGCCATCTTGTCGGGGAGAACAAGTGGTTTAAGGATGACTCGGGGCGCCTTGGGGGCCTGTGGGGGTGAGGGCGTGTCCAGGCCAGCCCCTCCCCACACTGGGCAGACTTGCCCGGTTTGGCTGACCGGGGAATGCATGTGACAGCTCATTTGCACACGAGGTTCTGCCCTCAGGGGAGCCATGAGGTAAAGCGCTGGGAAGCCCCGCCGTGTTGGGTGCATGAGGGCACCTGAGCCTCAGACGGGTCCAGGCCGTGTGGAAGGACCGTCTGTGTGGAGGGACACCTGGGCAGGCCAAGGGGGTTTTCTGGAGACTTCTGGAACCGTCGGTGGGGTTTGAGCAGGCTTCCTTTCCTAGCCCGAGAAGTCTTTTTCCTGTTTCCTCCTAGACCAGTTTGGTCATGTGGAGGACTTCAGCAATGTGCCTGCCTTGTGGAGGAGTTTTCTGGGGATTCGTGTCTGTCCTCTGAGCTCCAAGATGCTTTTGCCTGATGACTGATTCTCATTAGCTGAATAGCAAAAATTTAATTTCACTTTTGCCAGTTGAACACATAGAGCTTGAAGCAAGGCCCGTCGTGATGATGGCTAGCGACCTTTCCCGAGGGGGCAGGACCCTGGGGGCGTGGGCTTAGATGGCAGAGCTCTGACAGAGTGGCAGGAGCTGACTCCGGGGAGAACATGAGCTTGGCACTGAGGATGATTCAAGTACAGGATTTATTAAAAGGCGGGTTCCCCTGGGTGTGGCACCGCCCCTTATCCCAGTTACAGGAGAGACTGAGGCAGGGAAATAGTGTGAGTGTAGCCTGGGGACCGGTCTCAAAGAATTAAGAGGCATGGGGCAGCGAGCTGAGCTGGACGCTGCTGGCCTCGCTCCTCGGCTCTTGAAGGTGGAAGAGGAGCCCACTCCCCAGTCGCGCTTCTTCCCTCCGGGAGGCCCAGGAGCAGCGTGGCGCTGAAATCGTTGGTATCTCGGGTCCTTTGAAGCCTCTGCCACCCAGAGTGCACTTTGGGTTCTAACAGCCTGGTGTCCCCCAAAATGTGGGACTTCCTTTGGGAAAGAGTTTTTGTTATGTTAATTTGAAGAGTTGCCTCTGTTTACCAAGCAAAATTGATCTTTGTGCCCCTGGTGGTGATGAGAGTCTTTTAAAATTTAACTCAGAAGTAAGTAAAAAGCATTAAAGCCAGACAAACAGAAAGACAAACAGCGGCTGGGCGAAAAGCACCAGGGTGGCACAGGAGAGCCCAAGTCGGGGAATGCTGGGTTTCAGAGCAGGCAGCAGTTTGAGGGCTGTGGCGTTCGGGGCGCTGGTGATGCCCCTTCCTGGGGGCTGGGCAGGAGGAGCCCGTGCCGGTGGCTGGGAGCGCCTGCCCTCCTGTCTCTGAGGTGAGTGAGGTGCTCACTACGCCAGGGCCTGGCACGCATATTTTTGTAAAGGGCCAGCAGGCGGGCTGCATGGTGTCTGACCCGGTGCCCTGTTCTGGGTGGCAGGAAAGCAGGTGTCTCTAGGGCACCCCGGTGTCAGGAGAGGCGTGAAAAGGACTCTGGCAGGGAGCAGATGAACGGGACCTGAGCAAGGCAGGAAACCCCATCTCGGCGGGGCTGGGGAGGTGGCCAGAGGCGGCGGCTTGCTGCGGCTCCCGGAAGGGCAGGCACTGCACACACTGGGCACAGGGATACCCCACCCGTGTGGGCACAGTCACTGTTTCTGGGACACTGAGGAGGAACTGAGGGCCACAACCACAGGGCGAGGAGATTCGGGGGCTCCTTGCTTCTGTTTTAAGTCAGAGGGGGCTGCAGAGTGGGGCGTCGGTGCTTCCTGGGGTTACCACCACTGTGGCCCCAGCTCTTCCCGTGACTCCTCCACCCCGTGCACTGATGTCACTCGGGAGCAGACTCTGTGTCTTCATCACTGACTGACTCCATGGGCAGCGGTCCTAACCCCACCCTCAGCTCCCCAGATTCCTTCATTAGCCTGGGACCCCACCTTCCGCATCGGCGCCCCACACTGTTTGCCACCTCTGCCTGTGAGGTCAGCGCTGGCTGCCACTGCGGGCCTGGCCTTCATCACAGCCGGAGTCCTGATTCCCGGCTGTCCCCTTCCCTGGACATGGAGATACCTCCCGTCCCTGCATCCACCCTCCACACCCCATCTCCCTGGGGGAGCCCTTAGACCTGCATCGGCCCCATATGTGGACCTGCAGGGAGGCGGGACACGGGTGCTGTTTGGTGGAGTGCTTCCCTGGCATGCACAGGGCCCTGGCTCCATCCCACAAAAAACAGAACCTAAAATAGCCAGCATGCTGGCCTACACCTGTTATCCCAGCTCTCAGGGAGGTTGAAGCAGGAGGATTTCAAGTTCAGGCCTAGCCTGGGTAGTTTGGGGACTTAGTAAGACACCGTGTCAGAATAGAACGGGCTGGGATGTGGCTCAGTTAATCTTTGGGGACTGAATTGGGTGACCTTGAGCTTTGGGAGCCCTCCGTTTGAGGGCTTCTGGGTTCAGTCCTCGGGGCTGGATCTCAATCTCTCTCCCTCCCTCCCGCCCTCCCTCCCTCCTTCCTTCTCTCTCTCTCTCTCCCCGCACCCCTCTCTCTTTCCCTTTCCCTTTCTCCTTCTCTCCCTCTCCTTTCCTGCTGTCTTACCAAGGCCATCCGTGATGGAGGCTGGGTCCTGGTGGCGGGCAGACCCTGCTCTGCACGCAGCCGGCTTCTGCTGCCACTGGCTCCTCAGGCAGGGTGTCTGGGATGCAGCCTGGGGCCATGGGCATCCCGAGCTGCTCCCCGCCTTCTGGGCCAAGGAGCCCCTGGGAAGCAGGCTGGGAGGAGCTGGCACCTCCGTCCCCGTAGCTGGGCCCGGCCTCTCCTGCTCGCTTTCCTGTGAGATTCCCGCCAAGGCACCAGGTGCAGATGAGTCCTGGGAGCAATCCAGAATGGGAAAGCCCTGCCCAGGCCCAGGCCCAGGCCCAGGCCCTGCCACGTCCGCCCTTCCCTCTGTCCGCGCCGTGTCTCCACACCTCCGCTTCTTGCCTCTGACTTTAGATCCCGGAGAGCCGAGGGCCCAGGCCCCTTCTCTTCCCACCCCAGTACCCGAGGTTGCTCTTTTCCGGGTGCAGGAGGACCGTGGCCCAGGGCAGCCTCTGCCTTGCCGGGCCACACCTCGCCCCTCTTGGTGGCCCGTCTCCTCCCTCCTCTGCTGCATGTTCTCTCTAGGGTGCAGGCGCGCCCCACCGCGTTGTCACAGGGTCCATCCACACTGCTGCCCTTGGCGCCTCTTGCTGTGTCCTGTGGCCGTGACACTGGGCAGCCTGGGCTTTCTTGAGTTTTCATCTTTCTTCCTCATTTTGTCTTGTTTCTGTTTGTTTGCTTACCCGGATCTTGGCCACATCGGTGATTTTTATGGAGACGCCTTTCGTCTCCGGGTGTTTCCGGATCTTTGGCTTCAGATGTGATTGGGAGGATCCAGCCCCTCATCCGCTTCGTCTCCTCTGCCCTCACCCGGGTGGCACATGGTCACTCCTGCCCCTTCTTGGATCACCTGGGTGGGGTCTCCAACCCTTCCTGGTTCTGGCACCTGCCTCAGTTTCCCTGGTCAGATGGGCTGATGGGTAGAGCCAGCGCTTCCAGGATTTTTGCTTCTGAGAATCACAAAATCCTGAGACTTTTCGGTCACCAAGCGCTGCATCACTGTGTGTCATCGTGCTTGTAGTGCTTAGCTGTGTCCACTCGTCCTGTCCGTGGTTTGCTGCGCTCTGTGTGTAAAAGCTGTAGGCTCCGTGAGTGCCCTGAGCTGGATTGTGGTGACTTAGGAAGGGACCTGCTGGTCCCAGCGACGGTGGCAGGACCATGAGCCCGTGGGGTTTTGCGGAATCACAGCTCTGGGACGGACTCTGAGGCTACTGTGCTATCTCTTCAGTTAGCAAAAGGTGTGACAAGCAACCTGCCTATGTCCCAACCACCACCGACCACCAGCCGCACCCCAACTACCCCGCCCAGAAGTGTAAGTATGAGCCGTCTCACCGAAGCTGCGGGAGAAGCCCTGTGTGTGTGTGTGTGTGTGTGTGTGTGTGTGTTTCTCGTGGGCGTGTCCTCTCCTGTCCTCTCCAGTGCCTGGTCCTTGCTTTGCCCTGTTTCTTCTTCGCTCCCCCAACCCATCACGGTCGTTGGTTTTCTTGTGGGCGTTAACCTTACTCTTCCGCCCCGGCCCTCAGCAGCTCCCGTCTCCACTTCTCCTAGCGGCCCTTGCAGGACTTGATGTGGCCTCCTGCCGCATAGCGGGGTTTCCTCATATTGTAGGGGTGCCCAGGACCATCACCCCCAGAGCCCCCGGCAGTAAAAGCAGCATCGGAAGGGAAGCCCCGAGGAGGAGGCGGAGTCAGGATCAGGGCTCGGCTCCGTCCCCTCGGCCTCCTGGAAACTGCCCCTCTTTGGTCACTGACAGTTCCCCGTGAGGGTGGTGGCCCCCCTTTGGGGAACTTTCTCCTCCTGCTGCCTTTGGCTTGGCCACGCAGCTGTCAGAGCAGTCCCTCCCAGTATGTGACCGTGGGGTCCCTCCCTCGGCCACTCCAATCCTGTCTCTAAGCCTGACACTCGGCCTCTTAATCAAACCTTCCACTTGGAGAAATTAAAAAGGGGGAAGTCCGTGTGCCCTCGGTGAACGATCTCAGCCCACCCAGTGGGCTCTTTGTGGTGGCTGCTGGGGAGCACACACCCCCTTCCTGCAGAGCCTGCAGACCTGGCCCCCATCCAGTGGGGTGCTCTTCAGGACACCTTGTCTAGGTCTCCCTTTGCCTCCTCGCTTCTGGCTCAGCCACCTCAAGCTCTGCCCATGTCCTTGAGGCCATCCCAGCTCTTACCTGGGTTGCATCCTTTACTGACCCTTCCGTGTGTCCCTCTGAGAGCCACAGGCCTGTGTGCCCAGGTCTCAGCCATCTGGTCGACCCTCTTTCTCTTCCGTGCTCCTCTCCCGTGGGTGGGCACCTGTGGTTCGGTCATGAGTCCTGTTTCCAAGTTGCCCATAAATTAAAGAGGAGCATCATGAATGTAAGTAGATTGCATGCCAGATTTTGCTGCCCTCAGCGGTGGCCAGGGTTGGAAGCACAAGTGCATGGGGTTCCTGGTGTCTTTCAGTGACGTCTTGGGGGTCCCTGGTTCCGGCTACGACACAAGAGATGCCTCCCTTGGCAGCAGGGCACCCCTCACTAATCTGTTCTCTGAGCATGACGCCCCACTGATTCTCTCCAGCCAGTTCCTGTTAAATCCTGAAACTCCTAAGTCATTTGAGTTTGTGCTCTGTAGACCACAGGTGCAGGGAGTGGTGGTGGCTTTCTCTCACCCATCGGCGCTGTGTGGAGCGGGCGGGAAGGTGGCTTCCGGGCTGGCGGATGACACGGTGTGCACTCAGCCTGTGGCTCTCTCCCCAGACCACTCCCGGAGCAGCAAGGCCAGCGCCTGGAGCAGCAGCAGCGAGGAGAAGCGTGCGGTGGGCCGCTCCGAGCACAGCACCGGGGCCAGCACCAAGAGCCTCCTCCCCAAAGAGTCTCGGCTGGACGCCTTCTGGGACTAGGGGCAGGCAGTGCCCAGGGCCACCCAGCCCCCGGGAAGCAGCCTGGACGCTGGAGAAGAGGAGGCACGGAACCGGTGGGGACACGGCCTGGCTGGCGCTCGGCGCGGGGACACCCACACTACAGGACGTCGGGCATCGCCTTGCTGAGACTGTTCGACCACTTGCGCCCTAAGCTTTAGGTGTAAATAATGTACAATTGTGGATGTCATTGGACCTAGAGCACCTTTCCTTTTTATATTTGTATGACTTTAACTTATACAAAAAAGAAAAATGAAAAACAAGATAAAAAAAAACCCAACAACCAAAAAGAATGTTTTGGTGTTGGGGAAAGGGAGTTGCCCAGTGGGGCCCAGGGATCAATGTCACATACGGGTCCTGCTCCTCGGATCCGCAGGGGAGCCCGCTGGTGTCCCCCGGCAGCACGGCGCAGTCGGGAGTCCGAGCACTGACCACCCAAGCCATCGGCCCCTGGCCGCGCTCTGTCTCTATCTCCTCAAACACGGGGCCCCGCAGAGCAGATCTGCGCAATCCCACGCGACGTACACGATGACTCCTAAAGGGAAAAACAGCCACCTTGTTTACAGAAGCCACGCGGAAGCGAGCCCCGCTCAGCCAGATGGCCGACGGAAGGCGCTAGAAAGCCTTCAGGTCACAAACTCGGCAACCAAGAAAAAGTCTGTTTCCTTTGCTTTATGATTCCTTTCACCACGCTCACCCCCTGATCAGCTTTCTCCTCGGGAGCGGGAGGCCGAGGCAGGACACACGCAGGGTCCCGCGCGTCTGGACAGAGCATGTAGGTATTATTCCGGGATGCAGTTCTTCGTTTCTATGTAAGCATGAAGCAGAGCAGTGTGGGAGGAAGCTGTCTGTTACACTACGTATGCTGTAGTATCATTTTGTATGTTGTGTAAAACAAAGCATTGATCAGAAGCAAAAGGTGATGTATGTATATGAGAAAATTAATTGTACGATATCATTCCAGGACATTTTGTTGTACATTTTAGTCTCATTTCCTTTCTCTTCATTGTTGATAAGAGGATGCGAACTGTACAGTTTCCAGCTAGTTCCCCATATTAGAGAAGAAATATGAAGAGATACTAGAAGAAAACAGGAGAAAGGACCTTGTGAATTGCAGCTGTCAAAAAAGAAAAAAAAATAGCCTAGCTGGCCTTATTTGTGAAGCATAATTGCTTTTAGCATATGGAAGTATTTTTTCACATTTTCTTTGTATAAAATTTGTATTAAACAAATATCTTTTTTGATGATGGTGTTTCTTTGTGACTGAGCCAAGTGGACTCGCACAGTATGGTTTTTTGGGTTCTCCCTTACTCCTCTCCCAGTTTTTTTCAGGTTCTTTACCTTTTCTAATTAAAGGGTTTTGGTAAAATGGCTTGGTTGTCCTCAAGTTTGCAGTTTTCCAAATGGTTGGGGTGGCTGTGTCTTAGGCTCCCACAACCGGGAGGAGCAGAGGCCCACCGGGTGTCGGCTTGGAGGCCGCCGCCCCTGCAGACAGCAGGCGGGGGTTGAGGCAGAGCCTGAGCCCTCGGGCAAGCCTGGTCAGTGCCAGGACACCCTGTCCTCAGCTCTGGGCCAGGGATAGTGGAGCAGTCTTGAAAGGCAAGGATTCCAGCAGATAAGCGGTGTCTCCTTTATCTGGCCAGTGGTTCCCTGGTAAAGACTTGCCTCACCAACACTCCTGCCGTGGATGAAGGCTCATGTGCCCCTCAAGGTATCCGGACGTTACAAGGTTGGCAGGGCTGGGCATGGTGGCAAACGCTTGCAATCCCAGCACTCAGGAAGCTGGGGCAGGAGGATCACCGTGAGTTCATGGACAATCTGGGCTACATAGTGAGACCACTGACCAAAAAACAAAGAAGTGACCAGCAGATGCATGTTGTGAGACACTGTGCTGCTGGCCAGGCCACTGTGAGTCATGAGGTCAGGTCATTGACCTGAGCCAAGGGGACCTTAAGGGAGGGAATTCTATAAAGGCAGGGTTTGCATCCGCCTCTGCCCTGTGACATGGAAGAAACCCGAGGGGACGACAGAGGGGTGTGGCTGGGGCCCAGTAATGGTTTGCAGCCAGGCCCCACTCCCTTTTTACTTCTGTTTTTTTGTTGTGGTTTGTTTTAAAAGTACTGGAGGTTGAGCCTAGGACCTTCATATAGAGCTACATCCCCAACCATTTTTAGTTTGAGGCACAATCTTGCTTAATTCTCCTGCCGCAGCCTCCCAAAAGCACTGGGATTACAGGTGTGTGGTGCCTGCCCAGCTGAGCAAAATATCATGTTGTTTTGTATTGCAAAATATTCTCTTGGGCTTTCCCTGGCCATCTGAAAAACCCCTGTTCTCAACGCTTGGGCCTTAAACAGCATGGTTTGGATTTGGGCAGCTGGGTATTTGCTGTCAAAGGCCTTAATGGGGATGGTTCAGACCAAGACTAAGGGGCAGGCGACAGCCCCAGTGCACAGCCTTCTCTTGGGCTAAAGGAAAGCTGTCTGTGTACAAACAACAGGGAAGAGGGAGTGGAACTTTCTAGATGGAGGAGACCTGTAGGCACAGAGGTCCTGGATACCTGCGAAGTGACCTGCATGGTGTCAATGGTGGGTCTCTGGCCTGAGGATGTGCGTGGTTGAGGGTGCATGGCGCCCTCTTGAGGTCAGGCTTGCGCAGCTCCCTGCAGCTCCCTTCTTTGCCTGGTTGGGCCAAAGCTGCCAAGGGCACTGCTGTCCCAACAGTCACAGGCCGAGCGGTGACCCCAGCTTTGTGCTCCATCCTAACAGCTCCTGCATCAGTGCTCTTTGCAGTTGCTGGAGTGACATTTGTCACTTCCTCAGGTGGAGAAGAAAAGGCCAGCTCCCTCCTCCTGGGTGCATTCGTGCCCTTGGGACCCTCACTACCTCCTGAAGACCAGGTGGGCCTGGCCCCGGCCCCTGGGGCTGCCTGGCAGGACCTGATGTTCAGCCCCCAGGCATGCAGGCTCCTGCAAGCCAACACAGCCCCTTCTCTCAGGACTGGAGAGACTGGCGCACTCCTCACATCCTCCAGGCTGCGGGCACCTCATCCTCACAGGTGTCCAGCCATCACACTTGAGGTCGCCCTCATGGCCTCTGTCTCAGCCCCGAGGTTTTCACGTCCACTAGGAGGCCTGGCTGTGCCTGTGCCTGTGCCTGTGTGAGGGTGTGGAGGGGACACTTGCGGCTCCCTGCTGTGTCCCCAGGGGTTGGGGTTTTGGTGAAGGTCACACATGTCAGACAAGACAAGAGGGGATTTGCTGAGTGAAGGTGGAGAGAGCTTAAAAATATGAATTGGTTTTCCTCGTTCTCTGACTCACCAGTACAGGCGCCCGACTCAGATCTGAAGCTCTGCTGCCAGGGTCCTCCCCTCCCCACCCCAACTGCCCTCCTCCGCGCCCCCTGGAGAGCTGGTGGCCACAAACATGCAACATGCAGAGACACCTTTCTCCCAGTGCTGTGGTTTTTTTCTTTTAATTTTAAAGAGAATAAGACAAAACAATAAAGTGAAACAAAATAAAACAATCAGAACAACCTTGGATTTCAAAATCAAGACAGTAGGAAACCAAACACAGCTACTCTAATGCACTTTTTTTTTTTTTTTTGTCTTTTTCGTTTTTATCGGTACCAGGGATCGAACTCACGATTGCCTGCTTGCAAGGCAGGCGCTTATGCCGCTGAGTTTGTTGCTATCCTCCAAGTGGCTGTTCAGAGTGCCGGATACAGCATGCAAAGTTAAACAGGACAGGACCTGAGTTGTTTCTTTACTTCTGTTGCTGTCACTTCAGAAATTTCAGGTGTGTGACTGCCAGTTTCTTTTTGTGTCTGTGTCTTCCGGATTTGTTCTGGGGAGCTGAGGTCTGAGATTGCACCCTGCTCCTTCATATTGCCGTCTCCCCTGTTCCTCCGAATCCGCCAGCTGCTGAGTCCCAGGTGCTTCCTGCACTGGCTGCTGTCCCACGGTGCAGGGGATTGGGCTGGGCACCTGGGTTCCTCCGCGCCGAGGTCCCTGGGATGGCAGAGAGGTTCGGGGCTGTGCCTCACCAATGCTCCCCCAATGGCGGTGGGGCCTCGGGGTGTGGCAGGGGCCTCACTGAGGGATCCTCTTTTATTTTGAGCTAAGGTCTCCTCTGTGGCCCAGGCTGGCCTGTGGGGCTCCAGGCTGAGGTAGTGGGGTCAGAAGTCACAGGCCACCGTACCCGTTTCCTTTTACACCTAATGGTGGTGTAGCCCACAGGCCTGCAGTGTGTGAGTGCACCTGGCTCAACTGGGGTCCCCACTGTGGCGCCCTGTCACTTTTGTCTGAATCAGGGGTTTTTCAGGGGCCCAACATCTTTGAATCCAGGAATGAGGAAGAGGGGGGATATGACGGGAGCTGGCGAACCTTGAGGAAGCTGCATGCTCCTTCTTAGTGTGACCAGACCTGGACAGGAGTGGCTGGGATGACCAGCTTGGATCATGCAGGGTGATGTTTTAACGAAATTCAATGCTCTTGCCACCTGGTGGACATATTGAGAACTGCAGCCTCCAGAGGCTCATGAAAATTGAGCCAAGTACTGAGACACAGTAGTAGACAAACCAAGTGCAATCTGCTCTCTATTGTTTTCTCCCAATAGAATCCCAGGCAGGTTTGATGGGGACAGCCTCGGAGTGCAAACACTGGTAGTGGGGGATGGAGCTGGACATCTCAGGGAGCAGTTCTTAATGCTGTGTGAAAATTAGAAGCACCTGGGAAGACTGTAAAAAATCTAGTAAATCGATGTGACTCACTCAAGGGAACAATGACATCCATTCCCTGTGGCGGGTCTGGCATGTGTTGGAGCTTCTGAGCCTGAATTCCATCAAAGTATAAAGCTGATTAGCTGAGCCTGTGGCATCTGAGTGTGATTGGCAGAGCCTGCCATCTGCATGTATCTCATTGGCTGAGCTAGAGTATCATCTGGATGTATCTGATTGGCTGAGCCTGGGTAGCATCTGGGTGTCTCTGATTGGTTGTACCTGGATAGCTCCTGGGTTGAGCCTAGGTCACACGCCTACAGGCTAATGCAGAGGAGGCCGGGAAGGTGGGATTGAGGCTTCTTCTGGTGCAAACCACAGGGTGGGAAGTTGTCCAAACAGGTCCTTTTGTTAGCTAGGCATGGCGGTCCACACCTGTAATCCCAGTACTCTAATCCCAGTACTCTGGGATTTGGCCTGGTGTGCCACCAGAGCTGGCTGAATTTTAAAATTAGTGTTTGACCACAGCTGATTAACACCATTCTCTAGTGAACTTCTGGATACAGAAATAAATCCCAAATAATTTAAACAAGCTCAACGATGATACTAATTAAAACCGCAGTGGCCCACATTTAAAATTGGGCAGAAAGCAGGGTCCAGCGTTTCCAGCCCTGGGCTTGCTGGATTGCCCTCCAGGTCACCAGCCTCACTGTGCCTCCCACGCAGACACGAGTCAGCTGGGACCCGGTCACTGCGACAGGTGACCTTAGCTTTAACGCAGGCCTGCACAGATCATCCTCAATGGAAGTCTTGTTTTATCCCTGGTTGCCTGGTCCTACTGGCAGCCTCCGCGAGGCCCTGGGACCTGCTGTGGGGTCGTACTGCCCTCTGGTGGTCACCGATGAGCACAGCATCGCTGGAGCTGAGCTTGCTGCGGAAATAAACTGGCCCGTCCTTTCAACTCAGTTCCTTCTTTACCAGCGTGAAAGATGGCGCTCACACCACAAATTGATGTATCTCAGAAACACGCAGTGTGAATAAGACCAGAAGCCAAGGGGAACCTTTCTGAGTGCTTGCAGATGAAGTTCTGGATGAGGCCCAGTGGAGTGCTCTTGGTGACAGCAATCTAGGGACGCAGATGTAGGGGGAGGGGCTCGAGGATGCTGACACATTAGCCTGGGAGGCCGCAAACTGTTGGTTTCTGTCAGAACCGGCTCTTGATGATGCATCATTGTAACAGAAAAGCAGCTGGGCATCAAGGCAATTTAATTTCAGGGTCAAGGGGAGGTCACCTATTCACCTAAGACCTCTCCTGTGTGATGTCTGATTCGATTTGCACTGCTAATGGAAACCTAAAATAGCGAGATCCTTTCCTAAGCAATCTACTCCCTGGCTCTAAGCAGAATGTGTCTTGGTGATTTTGGTGGTGGCAGGCAGGGATGGATGGACAGATCAGATTACAGATGCCGCCATGCTAAGCAAAGGGGCTGGGTGGGCTGGAGTCTTCACGTGACTGATCCCTGGGTGACCCTGGTCCAGGCTCTGCCCCACTCCAGCCAGAAGCCAGCCCCTCCCATGAGAACGTCTCCTCTCGTCCTCAAAGACGCCTGCCAGCAGATCACTGGGAGCTGGATGGCAACATTACAGGCTCATTAAGGCCACTTTGCTCTGTCCATCCAGCCACCAGCCCTCCTGTCTGCTTCATCAACTACCTCTGACAGTCCAACCACTGCTCCAAAACCCTGTCACTCCGTCCACTTACTCATCCAAACAAGTGCCCACTCACTCGCCCCCTCACTCACCCACCTAGCATCCACCCCAGCTTCCAGACATTCACACGTGCAAACAACCCCCTACTCACACTACACGACCATTCGGTCATCCATCCAGTCCATCCAGGGTTCGAGACATCCTGATGTAGCCAACCATCCATCGAGTTATCCTAACACTTACCTCCTGTTTAGCCATCCAGTCTCTAATGAGTACCGAGCCACTTTCTGATTGCTCAACCATCCAGTTACCCAACTCATCATCCACCCACCATGCACCCAACCATCCATTCATCTATCTGTCCAAATGGCCATTCACCTATACAATCGCCCATCTATGGTTCCAGACACACAGTCACATGTCACTTAATGGCAGAGATATTTTGAGAAGCATATTGTTAGATGATACGGCTTGTGTCTAGATGTCCCCCCAAAGCCTCATGCAGTCACAGGTGGGGTTTTACAGGGGTGGCTGGATCTAGTGTGTGTTTCTGGGGTTAGAGTGCATGATCACTAAATATTTCTGGGTAGGATTAAGGGTGCTCCACCCTGGATAAAAATATAAGGGTTGTTAAGTGTGCTCGTCACTTGCTGCTGGGATGCTTTTGCTGAATTCTTCATGCCATGAACTGTTTCTCTCTGTGATGTTCTCTTTGATGCCACCCTGCCTTGCAGCCAGCTGATTGTGGACTGAAACCTCTACAAACTGTGAGCTAAACAAATCTTCCCACCTTTAACTTTGGGTGTCAGATATTTTGCCTCAGCTACGAGAAAAGTAACTAAGACAGATGATTTTTTCCTCATGTGGCTATTTGGTGATACAATCTTACAGGGCCACTGTGTGTGCAGTCCTTGGGTGACTGCCACCCTGTGTGGTGCCGGACTTTAGTGCCATCCTTACCCCCATCCTATCATGGATTGTGCTTGGTATCAGGCTCTGTGCTTTGAGATACAGAGGTGAAGTCAACCACGCCCACCGCTCAGGAGCTGAGTGCGTGTGAGGGTGTCCCTCACCGGGGACAGCTTCTAGCAATGCTGGAGTCCAGCGCTGAGGTTCTGATTACTGGGTCAGCTCCCATCTCCGCTGTCACACAGATCAGCCAACACAGCTTGGGGAAGGAGGGTACATTTCTCCTTAATGTCTGACCCCATGGCCAGGCCCTCTCTGGTCCTCTAGGGCAGTAACAAGACATCTTGGGGACCTCTCCAGACCCCCCCACCCTGCCCCCCACTGCATCCTTGACTCCTTGCTGGGTTTTGGTAAAGTCCTATCACTACAGTGGCAGTTGGTCATATTTTCTTTTCTTTTTTTTTTGTCTTTTTCCTTTTTATCGGTACCGGGGATCGAACTCACGACTGCCTGCTTGCAAGGCGGGCGCTTATGCCACTGAGCTAAATCCCCAGCCCCTTTTCCCATTTTTTTTTAAAGTTGGTCGTATTTTCAAAACCAACATCTTACCTTCTTCCCTTAATTATATTAGGAATAGCTGCTGATTAGATTTCCTTTGGGGGACCAGCCCTGCCCAACTTTCTGCTCCCAAGAGAAATCAAGCCTCAACCCAGCTCCACCAATGCGGCTGTGACCCCACTGTACCATGTGAGCTGCCGTCCTGGGCTCCCCTCGGTGGAAGCCAGTTTAAGTTGGATTTTATTTCTCTGCCGCTGAGGAAGTCATCTTCTCTGCTTCAAAATGTAAACGTGATTTTATTGAATGCCTTTTCTCCATCCCACAGCACAGCTTCCGTCCGCGCCCCTCGGCCTCCAGAGCGACGTGGCGGCCTAAGGCACCGGGCGCCGTCCAGGCGCCACCAGGAGGGCTCAGGAAAGGACAGAAAGCAAGAGTCTCCCCACAGTCCCCAAGGTCCAAGAGTGATTGTCCCCCCAAAGCACAGCCTGGAGTAGAGAGTGCTTAAATTAGAACTGCGAACCACCCCGCATGCCAGCTTACAAAAAACCAAACCCATCCAACAACTGAGGAAATCAACGACACAGGCACAAGAGCGCAGTACCGGGGTATGAGATTCGTCCATAAATTAAAAGGAAATAAGGAACCTGCTTCCTCCTCGTCGCCGGCCCCCCGCCAGCAGGCCCCTGCTCCTGCTCTGCGAGTCCACCATGGCCCCTTCTTCCCACCGTCAAAAATCTGAAGCCAGTGCTGGGGCCTCTGCTGCTCAGAACCCCTGTGCAGGACGGCTTCTGGGGTGGCCACTGGACACATCCTCTGCGTGCAGGCCCCTGCCTGCTGTCCAGCGCCTGGGCTCTTGGCAGGGAGCGAGGGATGGTGGGTGTGATGGCAGGTGCTATAAATACTCCAGCTCCAGGGCGTGCCGAAGCGCCTCCAGGTCGGCGTGGCAGGATATCCGCCAGAAAGGCATGTTGTGCTGGAACACAGAGCAGCGGCCACAGGTCACGCGGGGGACGAGAGGATGGCTCTTTCCCAAACTATGCCTTGCAGAACCTCTAGGGGACCCATGTCCGGCCAGCGCCACCCCCGCCCCAGTGTGGCCTGGTCATCTCAGTTCTTGTGGGGCTGAGGGGGATGCTTGGCAGACTCTGGGCCCTGGACACACCCAGAAGGAAGTCCACCCCCTTCTACTCATTAGGTTTGCAAATGTTTAAGCCATGAGAGCCCAGCCCCCAGCCTGCCTGCGGCTCCGACAGCTGGTAATGCAGCCCTACAAGACTGGGAACTTTGGCAGTTCTTCGGGTTGAGCCTGGAGCCTTCACACTGAGCTACCTCCCCAGTCATTTTTAAAATTTTGAGACTAGGTCTCAATAAATTGTTCAGGCCAGGCTCGAACTTGTGATTCTCCTGTCTCAGCTTCCCAGAGTGCTGGCTTTATAGGGAGATTGTAAACTTTGAAGATTATGTCTTATTGATCACTTTCCTGACTTGACTGCATGGTACCTGAGCAGAGTGCGGTGTGTGTGTGCGTGCATGCGTGCGTGTGCGTGTGCATGGGTGATGCAGTGCTAACTGGGACCTATGTGGCTCAGACTCGACTTGCCCTGGTGCTGCCCCCTGCTGGGTAAAGTGAAGACTTCCCCGGAGCAGCCTGTGCCTGTGAAGACAGGCGTTTACTGTCACAAGAGACATGGTAGTTTTCTGTTTAATCACTCAACTTGGGCTTGTTGTGTTACTTTGTAAAGTAATTTCCTATGTTAAGGTATTAACACAGGAGGCCTGTTACGCTGCATGCGTGAACCACAGTGCATATCTCATCTGGGGTCCAAGATAGTGAGGCCCAGGCACCTGTGCCCTTGGTGAGGACCCTGCACTCCTCCCTAGTGATGGGGTGAGAGATGGCGCCTGGGGAGCCATGGATGCCGGAGCACTCCTGGCGATCCTGCGGCCAGTTTTCTGCTCACCTGTGTCCTTCTGTTCCTGGGCCTCACCAGGCCCCTCCTGCTCCAGCCTGCACGTGGTACCTGCCCCCCTTTGCCTCCTGCTCCCCTTCACCTCACCTGGCCCCATCCCGGCCTTGCATGGAAAGAGGGACTTCACAGACTTGGGTAAAGGCCTGGTGCTGGGCTGTGTCCTAAGGGCAGGGACTTTGTCCTGTTGGTTGCTGTGGACGCTCACAGGGCTCTCATGGGAGCCTCAGAGGATGAACCTCTAGCTGAGTCAAGGGCATAATTTCATCTCCTGGCAAGGGCTGGGTAGAAAGCAGCAGGTGGGTCTATTTCTGGTGACTGGGTTGGAAAAGGACTCCAGGGCTGTGAGCTTTAAGCAGGCCCTGGAGGATAGAGAAAGCAGAAGCAAGGGTATTTGGAGAGTGTGAGGTCAGCAAGTGCAAAGGCCCTGGGGTGTCGACTGCATTCCACTGCTCCTTCCACAAAATAGGTACTCAGAAAACATTCATGGACCGAGTGAAAAGAGGATGGAAGGAAAGGGAATTATCTCCAGCAAGCGCCTCTATGAACACAGCTTTTCCTCTCTCTCCTGCAGCTCACCCCCAGGACATCCCCTATCCTGGGCCATGGCAGCCACCTCCTAGCCTGCAACTGCCTGCCAAACCTTCTTTTCCCTGCAGAGATGGATTCTAGTGGCCACCTGGCCTGGTCTGTTCCTTTAAAGACTGTCATTTATCTTTCTGGGAGGGAAGGAGAGCGGGTAGGAGGCCCCAGCTGGCTCCCTCCCAGTCAGGCGGCTCCAGAGTCTCATATGCGGAGCTGAGACAGACGACCCGCTGAGATGGGGATGGAGACATTGGCGACACCAACTCTGACAGCGATCCCGGCACAGGCCCTTGCCCTGGGGCCCTGCTGCACTGCTCAGGTGGCCTTGCTGGGCCTAATGACCCCATTCATCAGCCTGGAACAGCTGTGGGGAGAGCGGGCCAGCCAGCCCCTCTGCTTGGGACACTGGCGAAGGGTGCCCTAGGGAAGCCCGGTGTGTGGGTCTCTGTGGCGGAGTCCCCTGCTAGCTGGCCGCGGGGTGCAAGCCCTCAGTGTCAGAAGCGCACCCCTACCAGGTGCTGGCACAGGGGCAGCACTCTAGCCTTGTGACCCCTGAGTCTCGAATCTGTCCCCTATAAAAGAGGGCGCATGGATGCCCACTCGGTGTCAGCAGTAGCGGTGGTGAAGGGCGCGAGACTGAGGGCCTGGCGCTGCCCGCCGCTCGGGCTTATCTCAGGTCTCCCACTGTCCAGCCGGCTCCGCGCCCTGTGCCTGTGTCATACTCGGGCCAGCTGCGTCCTCAGGGGCGGAGGGGTCCCCGGCTCCCCGCCCCTTCCTGGTGGCCAGCATGCGAAAGGGTGGTGGGAGCAGGAGGGCGACAGAGACTGGAAGCCTGGTGGGACACTGTCCCTGCACCTGTGGCCGCTCAGGAGCGACTGAGAGTCCCCTTCCCACAGCCCCTGTCTGGCATCGTGGATAGCACAGGGCGGATGCCCTGGTCCCTGGGTATCCTGGCCTCATGATGCCCCTGGGGCCGGCGCTGCGCCCTCAGCCTGGCTGAGTGACACCCTTCTCCCAGGCGCTGGTGGAGGCCGTGGAGTCAGGGGTGAAGTGAGCGGTCCCACAGGTGACTGTTTCATGAAAGAGGGGCTGATGGCCTCGGGTGCGGGGTGGGGGTCCCAGGCCGTCCTGACCTAGCTGGAAGGTGAGGGCAGCAGAGACTGGGGTTCCCTCTTCCACAAGTGCTGCTGAGCCTGAGGCCCCCGATGGGTCTGCTGGGGAGCGGAAGAGGGGGGCTTCAGGCCAGGGGCAGGGCCCCTCTCAGCGCCCTGGGGACCCTCCCTTTTCTTCGGGGCTTCATCCACTGAGACCCGAAACAGTTTTGCATTTCCTTGGGATTTGCTGCCAGTGAGGGAAAAGGGAAACCAGGTCCCCCCAAATTAAGCCCTGTGACATTAACGATCCGCTTCCCAGGCCTCTGGGTGGGGGTGGCAGGCTCTCTGGGGCGCTGTTGACAGCTCCAGACCCCTGGCTTTGGCAGCTGTTTCTTTTCCAAGAAGGGGGCTGCGGCTACCAGAACCCCCTGCCCTGTGCTGGAGGCCCAGATCACAGATGCGGGATTTGCTTTTTCATTAGCCTAATGCTGTCTTTATTAACCGGCCGGCCCCCGGGGCACGTGACAGCAAGCATTCAATAAAAGGCGCGCACGTGCAGCCCCAGCCTTCCCGCCCAGCATCCCCGGTCCCCCCGCGTCATCCCAGAAACACCCAGGGCCGCCTTGGCGGCCGCCACAGGCGCAGGAGGGATTTGCAGGAGGAAATTACTCAGGATGCTTCTGCGAGCTGCAAACGGGGGCTGCAAACGGGGGCGCCGGCGGCGGGGAGCCGGGGCGGGAGGGGCGCCGCAGGGAGGAGGGTACCTTCTTTGCGCCTTGCTCTTCCTCCACGCCGTCCCCGATCACGATGTACACGGCTTTCCTGCCGAACCTCTGCATTATCCTCTCGAAGCAGCTCTCTTTCCCTGCATGCATGGGGGAGGAAGGAGACCGGCGCCTGAGGACCTGGCCCAGGAGCACCCGCCAGCCTCAGCATGGAGGTTCAGTTTGGGCTTCCTTGGGATGGGCCCCCTGGGAAGGAGGACAACACGGGGACACAGAGAGGTGGCCCAGCAGAAAGGGGCGTACAGGGGTGGAAAGTGGTCTTTGGGTGTGGCAGCGATGGGGTACAGGAACACAGTGCCACCTTGGTGTGCCTTTGAGAAATCGGGAACAGTAGGCTGCAGTGGTTCAGTGGCAGAACACAATGAGGCCCTGGGCTCCTTAACAGCACTGCAGACAAACCAACCCAAAAAACAAAAGGCCGGATAGTCCATTTTTATATTATTATTTTGACACAATTAAAACTAAGAAAAACAGCCAGGCATGGCCGCACAGGCCTGTAATCCTAGCACTTGGGAGGCTGAGGCAGGAGGATTGCCAGGAATTCAAGGCCAGCCTGGGTTACATAGTGAGTTCAAGGCCAGTTTGAATTATATAATGAGACCCTGTCTCAAAGAATCAAAACGAAAACCAAAACCAAAAATAAAAAAACCCTAAAAAACCAACCCCCCAAATCCCCCCCCTTCCCCCAAATTAAAAAACAAGTTTTAAATGCCCTGGACTAGAGGTATGTAGGATAAAGGTGAAGAGATTTGTAAGGATTTGCTGACAACTCTTTCACTGCTATTTTGGCCTGAATTGCTTTGATTTTAAAAGCTAAAGGCACTTCGAGATCATCTTTAGACCTAGAACTTCAGCACAGGCAAAAATTTCTCTAAGAAAATGTTTCCAAAGTATTATAAATTTTTTTTTTTTGCTTCAGTGAAAGCAGGTTTACAGTTCTAGTTAAAACTATCTCAGATTTATTCTTGTCTTACATGTTTTTAGGTGATATAAGAATTTTTTTGTTTGTTTGTTTTTTTCCTTTTTATCAGTACCAGGGATCGAACTCACGACTGCCTGCTTGCAAGCAGGCGCTTATGCCGCTGAGCTAAATCCCCAGCCCCTGATACAAGAATTTTTAAAAATCAGCTCCTTCCATAGGAAAAAGCAAGCCGGTATTCTCTGACACAGGAAGGAGCTCACTGTGGTTGTAAACTGGCAACACTGTTCATTTCCAGTGATTGCGTCCAAGAGTAAGTAACCGGATTCGGTGCTGTTCTTTCTGTTACTGGTACTATCTGATTTAACCCTGAGGGTAGCCTGCCGGGTGTCTGGGGGCCTGAGGCAGCCTGTGACCAGGACCAGGCTCCGTAAGCCTCCCTGGGGATGACCCTTTCCTTAACACTCTCCTCCCGGTGGGGAAGCTCCTGCTTTTTGCTGCCGTAGTCCGAGGCTGGCCTGTCCCTACCTGTCTTGGTGGCGCTGTAGATGTTCTCAATAGGAAACACGGATCCCAGGCCGTACAGCAGGACTTTGGCTAAGGCAGGGATGAGTTGAGTGGTGGTGACCAGCACGTTGACACAGTTGGGCCTGCGGACAGAGGGGACCAGGTCAGACCCAGAGGGGCCTCTTCACCTCATGGCCCGCTCAGCCTGGTGTCAGCGGGAAGCTGGGTGGACTTGGGGGCCCAGCCGGGCCCCTCCAGCGATTCCTCGCTTGAAGCCTGAAGCTGCCTGACACTGGAGTATAGTGGTGAAGTACTTTTCCCTTTTAAAAGCAAAGCTGCATTTTATGGCAAAAGCTACACATTTAATTAGTTGCCCAGGTTACATAAAAGAGTGACACGTGCAAATGTAGGCTGACGGAGATCTGGGAGGCTGAGGTGAAGTGGGGAGCACAGGCCAGTTCTGATGCAGGAACCCAGGTGCGTACTGCTCCCCAGGAAGTCGCTCCACTATTTGCTCAGCCAGTGCGATGTTTCC